ATTCTGGAAAGGTGTGCACTGTGAAATGCAGCCATGGTGTGCCGCGATGGATATTGGATATGGATGATGGGGTAGCAACGCGCGCTCCTCGCACACGATGGGAAGAGCGGGGAGGAGTAGGCGACTGCGGGGTAGCAAAGCTAAGCCAGTAATGCAATAACTTGAATAGAGGGGCACGCAGGCAGAAAGAACATAACCCACCCCTGCGAACATCCCTTTCCCTATCTTTCTTTCTCTGTTCCTCTTACTGTTTTATTGTATCCTTCTTTTTTTCTACGCTTCGTTTTGAAGCACGAGTACGTACGAATTCGCGCGCGTATAACTACTGACGTAGTATACGAATCGTGGGGTTCGAGGGTGGCGGCGAGGTTCTTCACCCTCCGACTGGAAAGGTACCCTTACATATAGTTGGTCACGCTAAAAGGCTTTTAGCTCACTCGTTCACCGTTATTGAATCTCGCTCGACGAAAGCTGAGTAATAACTAAGGAATCGTTTTCGTACGTTTGCTAGATGCATCTTTGCATCATGATCTTGGGATTTTGAAAAAACAACGATGTCTAATATCATTCATCAAGAATAAGAAAAAAATTGAGTTTCTCGTAAAAAAATTGAGTTTCTTAAAAATCAAGATAAAAAGATAAGATTAAAATAAAAATATATATTTTAGACAAAAAAATGTATATTTTGTATATATTTCTGAGAGTATAAATAAACGTAGATATTTAATTATAGGTTTATTGATATAATACACACAACACACTCACACACACATTTATACATATTATATACATAAAAATATAAAACTATAAGTATATAAATAAATATAAATAAATATATAAGTAAATTATATAATATATAAATATATATAAATTAAATATCTAATATTTTAATTCAACTACACTGTCCAAATCTGACCTATGCAATTACATCGGGATAATTTTAGTTTTTACCCCAAATTTTGATAAGAGTTTTAACTGAAATGAAAAATTTAAAAAGTTGGTGTTTTTGGTCTGGTATAATACTTAACGACGCTTGTATCACACGAGAAATACTTGCGTAATTGTGTGGTAGGATACGTTTATACCAGTGTAATTAAGGATTAATATATAAATTCTATATATTATATTATTATAATATATTATATATAAATATATACATATATATGTATATAGAGTTGTATAACACCAAGCACACATTATGTCGTAAGTACACACATTATATTACAGTGTCTCTAATGAAACTTAGAATTAGTGACGCGATTGACTGTACCTGTACACGGGAGGGTAATCGCGAGAGTTAAACTCCACGACTTGGGAACGAACGGGAAGTTGAGACGGGGGTTGGTCGAGTGCTTTCCCGGTCAAATACATAGGAGAAAAAGGACAGGACGAGCGAGATGAATGAATGGCTTCCAATCTGTTCCATCCCTTTGTTAGAGTGGCTCGTGCCGCGTGTGCAAATCTACCCTTGTTTTACCCTTCTCTTACCTTCCAATTCCCCTGATCGCCTCTGCGGATCCCGCTACTGCGCACACGCCTCACACCTGAGCACAATAGGCGACCTATTTTATATTCTCTCCCTTTAATTCTTCTTCTTCTCATACTTAAATACTGATATATCGAGTCTTCACATCCGCATGTATTTTATCTTCAGTTTTTACTTCTCTCTCATTCCACCACATATATTTCCTTAACAAGAAAAATAAAACAAAGCAGCTTATCGTTATCAACGTATGCAAAACTGAACAAAAGTGAGAGCACTCACGTAAATAAAATTATACTGCGCATATACTCTGATGTGTATATATGTACTTTGTATATTGTATTTTTTGATGGAAAACTATGTGTGGCGTAAAAAAGAAAGAAAAAGAGAGAGAGAGAGAGAGAGAGAGAGAGAGAGAGAGAGAAAGTAGGAGTGAAAGAGAGAAAAAAGTGAGATTAATTTTTTCAAGTTGAAAAGTTTGAAATGTGAGATAAACTTTACATTGAAAGATTTTAATTATTCTTTATTATATGTTTCACGCGATTGATATTTTCATACGATAATGATTTACTACATCGGCGCTTTTTTCGCTTGTATACTTACATGTAATAATGGACTTATCGTCAGTCTCAATTTTGATAGTAGCATGTCTCATTTCATGATTATTCACATAAATTTCGATAGATGTGGGTCCACATGTACCTCAAAGACTATTTTAGTTTGCGTGTACCTACCTTAATAGCTCGTAGGTGCGCCCCAATGATAATTATTAACGAACATGCGGGCGCTGCGGTGGGAATTTCTCATTCAATTTAAGTGTAATTGTTTAATTGAGGATCTCTCTCCATCGCCGAGACACATAAGCCGCACAAATTGATCGTTTACAGACCCGCTTTTGTTTGTAGCCACATTTTTGAAAATTTCTCAACATAAAGAATACTGTCTACAACAATTTATTATTTATCATTATGTTACATTTACGCACAACTGTTTTTTAATATTTTTTTCTTAATATTTATTTTATATTGTATATATATATAATATATGAAATGTTTACAAAGTTTTTAAATTGGAACATAGCGCTTTTATAGCCATGGCAATTCGCTGTAATTCTATTATAAAATAAATCTTAGATATCATCATTTCTGTGAACACGAGAGAAATGTTACAGGAAAAAAAGTTGCGCAATAAAAAAAACGACACAAGGTTGAATTCACCATAATTTCTCGAAAAGAAAGAAGAAACAATATGTGTGTGTGTGTATATATATATATATATATTTATATATTATATATATTTATATATTACGAGAGAAAGGTCGTTTTTCCATGATCTCTGGTGCCTTGAAAGATATAAGAGTAACAGGGGTGAAAATCGTGCCACGTGGCCCGTGTACTCCAGGATACATAGGGGAGAATTCGGACCGGTATTACTACGCTGGACCCTGGCAAACGTGAGTTACCTTTACTGCGTTTGCTATTCTCCATTGTGCATGACTACGATACGGGACCATGCAAGGGAGGCTGCGAGAGAGATCGCATGAGTCATATCGAGGCGAGCTTCGTTTTCACATTGGCGTAGAACACGTTTTCCTGAAGAAAACTCCTATCTTCGAAATCATAAATGTTTCATTAAAATAATCCGTTATTTTCATTATAATATATATATATAGTTTTACAAAATATACAAATATATCTAATGACACTTAATTTCTTTAAAAACAGATTTAGAAAGAAGAATAAAGAAGGAAAATTTCTTTTTATAATTCGAAAGTGTTCTCTAATTTCACTCGCAAATATAATATGTACGAACATAAAGTTAAGTCAAAAGAGAGAGAAAGCTGACAGAATTACATTAAATATTAATAAAAGTTGTCGCAAACATATATATATATATATATATATATATGTACATATGCCTTACCATACGTCTCACCTACTTACGTCACTGTGCTTGAGCAATGCATCAATCCGGCCTGCATCTGTATGTATTTACGCTTGGGAGAGAGAGCGGGCGGACATAGGAGGGAAACCCTTATGTGACATCATCCCCCACGCGCTGCGCGCCCGCTTCGTTTCGCTGGCTGACTTCTGTCGCCTAACTCCAAAACACCCCGTGGATTCTGCCATCTCCCTTTATCTTTAATCTTTATCAATCCATCCATCCGAGTCGCCGAATCAAACGCGCGGGCACGATCACTTTGTGTGAGATAGAATGCGAACGCTACCGCGCATTATTCACGACCGATAACACCTTTGACTCGCCCACTTCTTTCGCCGACTTACCTTCTCTTCTTATTTTGTTTTGCGTATTTTTTAAACAATTCATTTTAGATGATAATAAAGGAATCGCTCAGTTAAAACGCGGACTTTCTTCATTTTCAAATACATGTTTTAACTTTTCTGTATGTCAAAGTTTTGGAAAAAGCTATAACAGTAATAACAAGTGACAAAGTTATAATTAAATTCTAGAAATATAACTTCAAGTTGTTTTTTACATAGTTTCTTTCTGTCTCCAAAATTAATTAACTGAATTTTTTATTGAGAAATTTATGCGTCCTTACAACGTATTTTCGCGAAATTGACCAATCATGTTGTTCAAATCGGTCAATCAACCAATGTGATTAGCGACCTGTGGCTGCGTCTTAAAATCTATCTACATAAAGGCCATTCTACATAAGACGCAGACGCAGGTCGCAGGCCGCTGCTCTCGAGAAATTGACCAATCACGTAAGTCGATTAGCTGATTTGACAAACGTGAATGGTCAATTCCGCGAGATCAGCGTCCTGCGACCTGCGTCTGCGTCTTATGTAGAATGATCTTAAGACGCAGACGCAGATCGCAGGACGCTGATCTCGAATTGACCAATCACATAAGTCGATTGGCTAATTTGACAATCGTGAATGGTCAATTCCGCGAAATGTAGGACGGGCTTGGTGCTTTTGTTTTATATTATAGTTAATATTTTGATAATTTGATAGCGATATAGTTGCATATTTCATATAATATTCGAACCATGTAACTCGTATTAGGCTGGATCCTCATGGAGACACCGGCGCTATTGACACCGAGCGTTGATTGATGAAAAGCGAGTGGTGAGGGTAAATGGTAACCCTCATCACTCTCGCTTTTCACCAATCAACGCTCGGTGTCAAAGCGTCTATGTCTGCATGAGGATCCAGCCTTATGCGCAAGAAGTACTTACACCCATGCTTACACCATGGTACTTTCTCTCTTTGAACTCAGTGTATATATATATACATACACACACACATCACAATACACTAAAACATCATTTATTTTCCCTCTCACTTATCTTCTTACTAGGTTATCTTCCCGCAAAATCTCAAAGTTATATTCCCATTTAGTTTCTCCTCTCTGATTCCCACTCTTACTTCTCTCTCATTCCCCACTCTCGCACTTAGCAGAGCTAACGCTGAGGCGCTGGAAACGGACGGCATAATTTGTAGCAGCCAATCACACTGCAACCGTAATGGAAAACCACCTTTACTCTGCAGCAGTAGTGGTGGAATTCCCTCTGAAAGGAAAATAAGTGAAGTGCTCGCGTTTCATGTGTGGGAAAATAAATGAAGTTTTTCAGTGTATATGAATAAATATATGGCTTCCTTCCTTATGTCAAACATGATCGGAAATATTGTTATGGCCCACTAGCTGTTACAACGCCAAACTGATTGGAGATATTGTGGCGCGAACGCAATTAATAATCTGATTTCAGTGAATTGTTTGAATGTCGTGAAAGATGCCAGCGTTTTTGAAGCATATCGAAGTTGAAAACTTCAAATCTTATAAAGGAAAGCTTATTATTGGTCCTTTGAAGTCTTTTACGGCAGTAGTTGGTCCTAATGGCTCGGGTAGGTTAGGTTATAATGTATATCAACAATATATACATCCGACGAAACATTATTTGACATATTGTGTACATGAACAAGATTGTATATATCTTTTGTCTTTTTTATTCATAACAGGAAAATCCAATTTCATGGATGCTATTAGTTTTGTTATGGGTGAAAAAACTAGCAGTCTGAGAGTTAAAAGATTCAGCGAACTCATTCATGGTGCATCTATTGGAATGCCAGTAGCTCGAAGGTAAAAATCATTTCATATAGATTCTTTTATAGATTTTCACAAAAGAATTTGTAAGATTAGTCTATATAATATATAGTGAAGACATTAGTCTTTATATAATTCATTCTTTTTACTGTATAAAAAAAAGATACAAACTTTATGTTTGAAATAGTGCCTCAGTAACAGCTGTATTTCAACTGGAAGATGGTACTGAGAAAAGCTTTATACGTTCAGTACAAGGTTCTTCTTCTGAGCACAGGATAAACAGTAATGTAAGTGCTACATAACTTAATTGATAAAAATACATAAAATAAACAGATTGAAGAATTTAAGAATATTTTGTTCTATAGCTTGTCACTAGCCAAGTATATCTCAACGAGTTGGAACAGCTTGGTATTAATGTTAAAGCAAAGAATTTTCTAGTATTTCAAGGTGCAGTGGAATCTATAGCTATGAAAAATCCAAAAGAACGCACTGCTCTGTTTGAAGAAATTAGTAATTCTGGTGCACTAAAAACAGAATATGAAAGGTAAAATTTTTGTTATCGTCAAAATTAGAAATTGTTAGAAAATTCTTACTCAGACAAAACACATTTGAACGAAGATCTTGTATTAATACTGTTTTTAACTAGATAAGGTTATATTAAGTTTTATTTATAGTTTTGCACTTGTAAGTACGATAAAAATCATATATTTTAGATTAAGGACAGAAATGTTAAAAGCCGAAGAAGAAACCCAATTTTCATATCAGAAAAAGAAAGGAATTGCCGCAGAAAGAAAAGAGGCCAAGTTAGAAAAAGAAGAGGCTGAAAAGTATCAACGTCTCAAAGAGGAATATGTACAATATATTTTTGTTATAATATATATTTACTAGCTATATATAAATTACAATACTTAAATCAGAAAAATGTTTCACACATTTTTTAAGGTTGAAAAACAAGTGGAGTTGCAATTGTTCCGATTATTTCACAATGAGAAGAGTATTGAAAATTTAGAAGTTTCTCAAAAAAAGAAACAACACGAAATTGAAAAAATTGAAAAGAAAAAAGAAAAAGCTGAAGAATTGCTGAAAGACAAAAAGAAAGATGCCTCCAAACTCAGTAGAGATCTTGCTAAAATAGAGCAAGATATCAGAGAAGTGGAAGTGGAAATTACGAAAAAGCGTCCGACGTTTATTAAAGCCAAAGAACGTGTCGCGCACATGCAGAAGAAGGTTGAGTCTGCGCGCAAATCTTTGGCACAAGCGCGTACCGCAGATGAGGCTCACAAAAAAGACATACACGAATTGCAAGAAGAATTGCGACAGGTGGAGGAAGCTAAAGCTGCTTACGAGACTAGTATAGCAGGACAATCGCAATTACAAGGAAGAGATGTGCAGTTGGAAGAAGAACAGGTAAAACAAATTGTGTACAATTTTTGCGATAATTTTGCAAACTTTAAATGTTTAATAATTTGAACAATGTAAGGTACGGGAATATAATCGTTTGAAAGAAGAAGCCGGCAAACAATCCGCTAGATATCTTCAGCTTCTCGATTCTATCAATCGCGAACAAAAATCAGATCAAGACAGACTTGACAATGAAGGCAGAAAGAAGACCGAGATCGAGAACAAGCACAAGCAAAAGGGTCACATGCGAGACGAAGCGCTTAAGCGAGTTGAAAAATTGGAAGAACACATAAAGACATCCGAGACTGCTTTGGAAGATCAGAAGAAGCTTAGAGCTGACTTGCAATCCGATGTGGGCACGTCCAAAGACAAAATTCAAAATTTGCAACGAGAGTTAGAGAGCATTTCGGAGCAACTGGGTGATGCTAAAGTTGATAAGCACGAAGTATCTAGAACTAAGAAGAAAACGGAAATTGTCGAGAATTTTAAACGTCTGTTTCCTGGAGTGGTGTGTTTTTTATTTTTTGTTCTTTTGTTATCTAAGTTTTCTTACAATGCAGCGAGATAAAATGATACATGTGGTTTTCTTTTTATTAGTACGATCGCATGTACAATATGTGTGAACCGATACATAAACGATACAACGTCGCTATTACGAAAGTGCTTGGCAAGTATATGGAGGCTATCGTAGTAGATACTGAGAAAACTGCCAGGCAATGTATCCAGTATCTGAAGGAGCAGTATCTCGAGCCGGAAACGTTTCTTCCGCTTGATTATATACAGGCTAAGCCGCTGAAAGAACGACTTCGGTGAGCAAACCTGACTAAATACTTATTGTGTAATTATTTAAATAAAAACTAGCATACAGTCGTCTTGCGAATTTTATATAAATAACAATTGTACAATTGATTTTGCAGTAATATACAAGAACCAAAAAATGTGAAACTGCTATACGATGTACTGCATTTCTCACCAAAGGACATTGATAGAGCAGTTCTGTTTGCGACTAACAATGCTCTTGTATGCGAGACACCGGAAGATGCAAATAAAGTAGCGTACGAAATGGATAAAAAGACTAGATATGATGTAAGTATATACATAATATGCATATGAAACTCGTACTTGACACCTACAGAAAATGATAATGATCATAATGACATGCAAAATGTACAGCATATGAAAATACTTGCAGTGCGTCGCGTTAGATGGCACGTTCTATCAAAAGGCCGGAATAATATCCGGCGGCAGTTTAGATCTAGCCAAAAAAGCAAAGAGATGGGATGAGAAACAAATGTCTCAGTTAAAGGCGCAAAAGGAAAAATTAACTGAAGAACTAAGAGAATCATTAAAAAAATCACGTAAAGAATCAGAATTGAACACAGTTGAATCCCAGATACGCGGTTTGGAGACTCGCTTAAAGTATAATAAAAGTGATTTGACTGCAACGGTAAGCATTACTTATTGCTTGCTTAAGGCTGTTTATAATTTTTCATAAAACATTTGTTATATGCAGCAAAAACAAATTGCGGATCTTGAAGTGGAGCTAGACAGTTTGCAAAAAGAATTAAACATGTTTGGTGTAAGTTTCAAAATATTATATATATATGTATAATTTTTGTACCTGAAAAAGATTTTACATTTCTTGGATATGTGTACAGCCTGCAATAGCTGCTATCGAAAAAACTATGGCTGAGAGGGACCAGGAAATACAAAATATCAAAGAAAAAATGAACAACGTTGAGGATGATGTATTTGCTAGTTTTTGCGAACAAATAGGAGTTTCCAATATCCGTCAATACGAAGAAAGAGAATTGAGGTAGAGAAGTAATACGTAACGATACGTAATTTATATGTTTTGCGTTATAAAATCAAATATTAACTTTTATTTTCAAGATCGCAGCAAGAAAGAGCAAAGAAAAGAATGGAATTTGACAACCAATGCAATCGCATCTACAATCAATTAGATTTTGAAAAACAACGCGACACAGAAAGTAACAAGAATAAAATTTTATATTGTAAAACGTTTACCTCCACGAAAACAAGTTCTTCTAAATTCTACACACAAACGCACGCACACACACACACATATTTATATATTCGTATATGATTATTATATATTTATCTATTTTCATACTTTTCAAGATAATGTTTTACGTTGGGAACGAGCGGTTCAAGATGCAGAGGACAAACTCGAGTCCGCGAAACAAACCGAATCTAATCAAAAAGCGGAGATTGATCACGATGAACAGCAAATGGAGCAATTGAAATCGTCGCGCAATGCCAAGAAAATGGAAGTCGATCAGAAGGAGGATGAAATCGGTAAAGCCAGACGTGAAGTAGGAACTATCGCGAAAGACATTCAAGCGGCTCAAAAGCAATTAAATGCAATTGAAACAAAGATAGAACAGAAGAAAGCCGAACGACACGCTATTTTAATGCAATGCAAGGTTTGTCTACCCTATTAATATTAATTACTATTATCAAATTCTGTGTTACAGTATACTTTAATTAAATTAACGTGTGTATTTACTAATATTTAGATGGAAGATATTGCAATACCCATGTTACACGGAAATATGGAAGATATTGCAGGTGAAACTAGCACAGCTAACGGAAATGATTCACATAACGATACGTCATCGGTGAGCACGCAGCAGCAGTATGAGCGCGAAAGAAGAATTACTATAGATTACGCATTTCTACCGGAAAATTTGAAGGATATTGACGAGGATGATATCAAAAAAACGACCGACAAGTTAACAAAGATAATCAATGACTTGCAAAGTACGATACAGCGCATACAAGCACCAAACATGAAGGTTTGTAACAAATTATGCTGTGATGTGAACGTAATATCGACATGAGATATGTAAAACTGTAACTAAAAGAATTGTTTTACAGGCAATTCAAAAATTGTATCTGGCTAAAGAGAAGTTACAGGAAACCAATGAAGAGTTTGAGCAATCTCGTAAGAAGGCGAAGAAAGCAAAGACGCAATTCGAGAAGATAAAGAAAGAACGACACGACAGATTTATGGCTTGCTTCGAACATGTGGCTAACGAAATTGATCCTATTTACAAAGTGTGACTTAATACAGTTAACTGAAAGAAAACTTTACATGTTTACACAGTAATATATGTAATCGCTATAACTTCGTTTCAGAGTCTAGCAAAAAATCAATCAGCTCAGGCGTTCCTTGGACCAGAAAATCCTGAAGAGCCTTATTTAGATGGCATTAATTACAATTGCGTAGCTCCAGGCAAACGGTTTCAACCTATGTCCAATTTGTCCGGTGGAGAGAAAACAGTTGCTGCACTGGCTTTGCTATTCGCAATTCACAGGTTCGTACGCAAAAATACAAAAAGTAAATTGAGATTACATGTAAACTCTCGAATATAACAATCATCTACATTCATTTGTTTGTGTACATTCAGTTTCCAACCTGCGCCATTTTTTGTCTTGGATGAAATCGACGCCGCTCTTGATAACACCAACATTGGAAAAGTGGCAAGTTATATTCGCGATAAAACAAGTTCGTTGCAAACAATTGTTATATCATTGAAGGAAGAGTTTTATTCGCATGCAGATGCACTTATTGGAATTTGTCCAGACGTAAGAAAATTATTTTATCATTAATTTACTTAATACATTGTATATAACATTAATATTTCTATTGTATTTTTTTTATAAATTTTAGGTTGGCGAATGTTTGGAAAGCAAAGTTATAACACTCGACCTGACTACATATCCTACGCACATTAACTAATAGACATTTATTATTTAATGTAGATCATGAACTTTTTCTATATTTTTTGTGTTGGACAACTTTTAATTTGTATTTTTGAAGAATAATTAATAAAAATTAACGTAAAACATCAATATAATCAATTATATTCTTTTAAAAGTTTACAAGATACTTTATATATTATATTGTATATATATGTATGAATAAGTAAAACACTTAAAAAAGAAAAAAGAAAAATATCTAAGACTAAGATATACAACGGTTTGCAATTTGTTTGCCTTTGAATGAAAACAACTATTGTTTATAATTTTCTATCATTATAATTTATCTTACTGTGGCATAGAAGAAACGGTTGTTGCCTCTCGCACCCATATGTATCTATATGAAATTACAGGAGCGATCGTGTTGGCTGCGCGCAAAGAGATGGTCGTGAGAACTACTATGTACTCAAATCATTTTGCCACTGCGTTTAGTAGCGATCACTCACAAAACAGCAAAGTATAAGCAGTTTTTACCTAGCATTAAACAGATTATATCTTTTAGTACTTTAGAATATACTTATCGTTTTGCAGTTTACTTATTGTTTTCAATTTTTCCGTTTCTATTTTGTACCGTAATAATTTCGTTCCATGAAAAATCCAGCTTTATTCAGTTGGAACCGCGACCAAAAAAAAAGAAATTGAAACGGAAAGCTACATTTTAATATTTCACTGCCGCGCGCGGTAACGTAAAATCTATATTGCGTTCAATTTGAGAAGAAAATTTTACTGCGCATAGGAGAAGAAAAGCGGTCAAAGTAGAGATAAAGCCCCTTGCACAATGGACGGAATAGCGATAGCGATAGAAATATAACACAGTTTTAAAGAGTTTATATTTATAAATAACGGTAGGAACAGCGGAATCTAACGTACAAAAATACACATGTATCAATGCAGATCAGAAAACAGAATAAGCAATAACGATAAAATTTCCGACGAGTTGGAATTCTGTGTCTATTGCTTATCGCTATCACTATTCCCTCGCATTGTGCAAGAGGCTTAACATTGCGTGCTATGGGATTAAGGCCATTGCACATGGCAAAAGTTTAGACGTAGTCGTAAGGTCGTAAGCAAATCGACCAATCGCTGGTCAGCATTTCAGCTAATGTAAGATAACACTGGTTTGTAATTGGTTAAACTGTTTACGACCTTAAGAGCCGTCTACAATGGAGAGTTGTAGGCCGTAATAGTAAGAAATTGACCAATCACAGACAAAGTACAGAAGAATAATCGATTGTGATTTGTCAATTTCTTACTGTTACAGTCTAAAACTTTCCATTGTAGACGACCCTTTAGTGGAACACTTGCTGACAGCCAATGGATGTGAAGTAAGAAGATTTCTTAAGAGCCATCTACAATGGAGAGTTGTAGGTCGTAATAGTAAGAAATTGACCAATCACAATCGATTATTCTTCTGTACTTTGTCTGTGATTGGTCAATTTCTTACTATTACGGCCTACAACTCTCCATTGTAGACGACCCTTTAGTAGGGAAGGTGCGTGAAACGGACGAGTTTTCAGGTTTGTTCGCGTCGCATGTCCCAACATGCTCCTACTCGCCCCAATATACGAGCAGAAAAGTTAAGTTTATTAAGGAATATGTAATATTGTAATATATATGCATAAAGTATCTTCTGGAAATTCAATTTGATTCAATTTAATATTCCGAAATAGAGGAAAAATGGGTCCACCAAAACGTTTTAAAAAAGACAATAGTAAGTACTCTATGTTTTTATTTTTTTGTACAAAGTGTACGTGAAATTTTTCATTCTTTTCCATTTTTTACTACTATATGCTGTTTATGTGTTACATTCATCGTTATGTATTACACAAAATTGTAATTATATCTTTAGTTTTACTTTTGTATATATTACATATTCGCAAAATAGCAATATTTGTTAAAGGTAAAGGCAAAGGTAAACGTAAAGATGATTTTGATGAATATCATGACGAAGATTCAATAGATAGCAATGAAGCAGATGGTGTACCAGATGCTGCAAAAAGTGACATAGAAAAGCATGATGAGACTGCAATCGAAGATGAGTTTGGAGCTAAAGATTATCGGTCACAAATGATTTTAAAGCCAGACAGTACAAGTAGACCATTGTGGGTGGTAAGATTAAATACATCTATACTTTTGATTACTTATACAATAATAGAAACAAATCTATTTTTCAGAGATTTTTATGCCTCATTGTGTAAAACATTTCAAAAAGTCACATAGGTCTGTACTAATTACTTTCTGATGTAATGCTTTGTATTTTTTTATAGGCACCAAATGGACATATATTCTTAGAATCTTTTTCTCCTGTATATAAACATGCCCATGATTTTTTGATAGCTATATCAGAACCTGTATGCCGACCAGAATATATTCACGAGGTATAATTAAAAGTGTGATAAATAAGAAGCAATTATAACTATATAATACATACGTACTTACCTCTTTTTTATATTTTAGTATAGGCTTACTCCATATTCACTGTACGCTGCAGTCAGTGTAGGGTTACAAACACAAGATATAATAGAATATTTACAAAGATTGAGCAAGACCAGCATTCCTGATGGTATAATCGAATTTATCAAGTTATGTACATTATCTTATGGAAAAGTAAGTAAAAAGATACTTGCGATACGTGCAACAAATCACATTTTATTTTTATCCAGAAAAAAATTTAATAAGATAATGTATACATTTTGCACAGGTCAAACTTGTTTTAAAACGCAATAAATATTTTATCGAATCGCCATTTCCTGAGGTGTTGCAAAGATTACTAAAAGATCCAGTAATTCAAGAATGTAGATTGAGAAAAATTATGGAAGATACACAAACTGATATTATTACAAATGTTCAGCCCAAGTTTAAGACTCCTCAGGTCTGTAGAAATATATATGCGCTAATTTATTGCTTTCAGTAATAAAATATGTAGTTTCTTTTTTTGTTTGAACATAGTTTGGAGCAAAACCACTCGTCAACACTACTGTACCTAATAAGCCAAATATAGAAACTGAATCTGATCAGATATTAGCAGAAATAACTGCCATTCCAGAAGATATAACTGCTTTTTATGACAAAATGGATAAAGAGGACGAAGAAGATGAAGAAGATCAAGAATTGAAAACAGTTAGTTTTGAAGTAAATCAGGTATTTGTTTGTTCTCATATTATAAATATACATATGTATTGTTAATACATTTTATTGTACACTTAAATTTTTGAAACAAAACAGTATGTGTAATACTTGTGTATAATAATTGCTTGTTTTTATGTCAAAAAGGAAAAAATTGAAGTTATACAAAAACGATGTATCGATCTAGAACATCCTTTATTGGCAGAGTACGATTTTCGCAATGATACTATAAATCCAGATATAAAGTAAGACCGTAATGACAGCGTATACACTGTATATAAGTTATACTTATATGAAAACTAAACAAAATGTAATTGTTTCAGTATCGATTTAAAACCATCAGCCATATTAAGGCCTTATCAAGAGAAAAGTTTGCGGAAAATGTTTGGTAATGGACGAGCTAGATCTGGAGTTATAGTCTTACCTTGCGGTGAGTTTAATAAAATTTCTAGTAGCTTATATTACACACACACAACGTAGACAGAAAAAGGAACTTCCGTGTGTATAATTCACACACACACACACGAAATACATGTTAATCATTTTTAATTTTTTTGAGTATAGGCGCAGGTAAAAGTTTAGTCGGAGTTACAGCTTGTTGCACAGTACGCAAACGCGCCATAGTATTATGTAACTCCGGCGTGTCTGTGGAACAGTGGAAACAGCAATTTAAAATGTGGTCTACCGCTGATGATTCAATGATTTGTCGATTTACTAGCGAAGCAAAGGATAAACCTATGGGTTGCGGTATATTGATAACCACGTATTCCATGATCACGCACACTCAGAAACGTTCGTGGGAAGCTGAGCAAACAATGCGCTGGTTGCAAGAACAGGAATGGGGTATTATGGTTTTGGATGGTAAATTTTATTATTCGTATCGCAATTAGCTAGCAAACTATGTAATGCGTTTTTTTATATATTAATTGCGCCACTTGTTTATTGTTAGAGGTGCACACTATTCCCGCAAAAATGTTTCGTAGAGTGTTGACCATTGTTCAGTGTCACTGCAAGTTGGGTTTAACAGCGACCCTCTTGCGAGAAGATGACAAAATTGCTGATTTAAACTTTTTAATCGGTCCTAAATTATACGAAGCCAACTGGTTAGAATTGCAAAATAGAGGATTTATCGCAAGAGTGCAGTGCGCAGAAGTTTGGTGTCCTATGACGCCGGAATTTTACAGAGAATATCTCAGCTGCAAAATGAGCAGAAAACTGGTTATTAATTTATTGTGATTCTTGTTATTGCATATGCTTACGCACACGTACAATATTCCGTTTTAATACACATTACTTCTAATTTCAGTTGTTGTATGTGATGAACCCAAACAAGTTTCGTTGTTGTCAGTATTTAATTCGGTATCACGAACGGCGCGGAGATAAAACAATTGTTTTTTCAGACAATGTGTTTGCACTGAAACATTACGCTATTAAAATGAATAAACCTTATATTTATGGCCCTACTAGTCAAGTAAGTGTAAAAGTGTATATTAGCATCATCAAAAATTAGGCAAAATTATATTTCAAAGATATATTTTGTTTGTCGATATTATTTGTGTTGTACGTTTGGTTTTTTTTTAGAGCGAAAGAATACAGATTTTGCAAAATTTTAAATTTAATATGAAAGTAAACACGATATTTGTGAGCAAAGTAGCAGATACTTCTTTTGATTTACCAGAAGCGAATGTTTTAATCCAAATTTCGTCGCATGGTGGATCTAGAAGGCAAGAAGCACAACGATTAGGACGTATTCTTAGAGCTAAAAAAGGTACAAGATATTTTAGTTGAATATAAATTTATTTATATTTATATTTTAAATATATATTTATATATATATATATATATATATATGTATTTTTCAATTAAATTATGATTACAATTATAACGCTCGTAGGAGCAATTGCTGAAGAGTATAATGCGTTCTTTTATACACTCGTATCGCAAGATACGATGGAAATGAATTATTCTCGGAAGCGTCAAAGGTTTCTTATAAATCAGGGATACGCATATAAAGTTATCACAAAACTCGCTGGTATGGATGAGGTAGGCGATAATGTAATTAATATCTTGCTTTTTTTTTACTACTGTACTTTACTTTTTAATGATTGGTAATGCCAATTGGCATTCTCCAAGGATAATTTGATGGGTAAAATGTTACCTTGTATGTAAGGTATATTATGTGTATACTAATCGTCTGTACAAAGAGCGATGACAAAAAATTATTCTCATTTGTCCAGGAGCCGGATCTAATGTATTCGAGCCGAGAAGAACAAGGTCAGTTACTACAACAAGTTTTAACAGCCAGCGACACAGACGCAGACGAGGAAAGAATTCCTGGCGAAGGACCAAGACCAGTAAGTGACTCAAATCCAGGGAATGATGTAGATACAACAGTTTCAAATTACTTATAATTAATATGACATTATTTTAATTACACACGCATACACACGTATATCTATATGTATAATTATTACTAAACATTATTATCATTAAAAATGCAACTCTTACAGATTATACGTAAAACTGGTACCATGACATCGATGTCAGGAGCGGATGATGCTATTTATTACGAGTATAAAAAAGCTAGCTCATCGACGGCGAATAAACATCCCCTCTTCAAAAAATTTAGAACATAAAAAATACATGTATAAGTAGTATCTTTTTTTATCAAATGCGTATATAGCTTATGTATATCTAGTGTTTATTTCAAAATAAAAAAAATTAATAAATATTGCACCGTAGGAAAAAAACGGGCATATTCCGCCTGACGACGGTACAATTGGACACAGTACGATTGCACACCGCAAGATTAGCATACTGTACGACTAATCACGATACGCGATAGGACACGGTACAATTGACAATGGCTGCGTTCGGGGAGCGTGCTATCAGTGCTATTGCGTCATTCTATCTTTGTTTTACATCTAATGAGCAATAAAGATAAAATGATGCAACAGCGCTGATAGCGCGCTTTCCGACGCAGCAAACGTGTATCGTGACCACGAAGTAAGAGGAAGGAGATCGAACTCCGTGATACAAACAAGATAGGATAGGTTACATACACTGAACGTGTACATGTTAGTTGTGTACAGACGGCGTCATTAATTCGAAGAATAGGCGCGGGGATCACATAAAAAGTCCAGTTGATCCAAATATCCATTAGTCCCAAAATCGGGTGTCCAGTTGTGGACACCCGATTGCTACTAGTTAGTTAGTACGGCGCCCGTTGGCGCTACGAGCAACCGCCCCGCTTGCTCTCCGATCCCCGCGCCTATTCTTCGAATTAATGACGCCGTCTGTACATGCACAGTTTTGCAAATGGCGTCCAACCCTAAAAACCTATTTCCTTGAGCGGATTCCCTCCCAATGAACCGTAAAAACCACTTTTTCCATTCGCGCGCTGTCAAATTCGATCTCCTTGCTCTTACTTCGTGGGCTGAATCCTTATGCAGACATTGGCGCTTTGACACCGAGCGTTGATCGGTGAAAAGCGGATTGTGAGGGTTGCCATTTATCCTCATCACTCGCTTTTCACCAATCAACGCTTGGTGTCAAAATGCCAGTGTCTGCATGAGGAGCCTAAAAGAAAAGCAGCAGCAACAAGTGCGTTTGCTTTGGACGTTTATGCGCTTTAAGCATCAGTCCGTCTTTATTGTCTTTAAATGTAGAACAAAGATAGACTGTTGTTTACAGCGCGTAAGCGCTTAAAACGAACGCACCTATAATCTATAATGTGTTCCTTTCTTAAGGGTCGTCTACAATGGAGAGTTTTAGACTGTAACAGTAAGAAACTGACAAATCACAATCGATTATTCTTCTGTACTTTGCCTGTGATTGGTCAATTTCTTACTATTACGGCCTACAACTCTCCATTGTAGACGGCTCTTTATAAAATATCAACATCAACACATTCCGTAGTAATCACAAGTTTCCAAGCAAACCAACCAATCATAACTCACTATTCTAGCTAATGTGTCTAGCTAGTATTAGCTTGTAATTGGTTGAATTAATTAAGTTTTTAGGCTGGTTCTTTTTAATTTAACTTGCACAGTTCGTGTTTTCTTTTTTTCTTCCTATTGAAGAGAAAAGGAAAAAAGATAAAGAGTGCAAGAAGTTCAGCTAAAAGGAACAATAAGCTGTGATTATAGCGGATCGGTAATCACAACACCAAAATCAAACTAGCGATGTCATTCCATCGATTCCTATGTAAGTAAAAAGTATGGCTGAGAAAAGTGCTCATTTGACTGGAACTACATATATCAGACCTTCTATTTTTGAATTTATTGCACAGGAATCGCTTGCCGCCACCTTAGAACAGGCTTTTAAAAAGATTCTTTCGGTACACAATAAGTTATAGTTAAATATTTAGACATTAAACAATTATTTATGCAATAGCAATTATAATTTTATAGCCTGTGTCAGAATTACATATGTATATAAGATTCCGTTACATTTATTTGTCATTTATTTGTAAATCTTGTTATTGGTTTTAGTTTCTTGTATCTTTTAATCCTGAAAGATATGGACATATTTTGCAATGGACGGATGAAGCCTACTTAGTTTTTAATATATTTATCCAAAGATATTATCTAAAAAAGTATTGTAAGTATTTAAATAAGTATTTCTGATATATTTGTTTACTTGTATATAAATATATATGCTTCTAGTTATAAAGCAACTTTCAATGTATATTTTATTATATCTGGTTTTTTCATAACACAGCTGCATCATTTTCTGAAACATTCTATGATCTAAAGCGTGTTTCAGTCCATAAATCTAAACTCCAAGAAAAGTTGTCTTATAAACAACAAGTGTTATCATTAATAATAATTGTGGCGTTTCCATATTTAAAAACTAAGCTGGAACAACTTAGTTCAAAATATATACTTGAAGAAGCAGATAATCAAGGAATATTAAAAGAGGCAAGTTTGAGGAATGAGTATTTCTAAGTATATAACATGAAATATAACTTTTCTATTATTGATACAGAGAAGGCAGAAGTTACTCCGTAAATGCATTATTAAGGGGCACTCAATAATCTTTGTAACATACGAAATACTGAAATTATATAATTACATATTATATATATCTGAAAAGTCAGTATATCCATTGCCCTTACTAAGACTGTTATCTGTTACATTGACGTATGCTGATCCACAGTCTGCTCTCACTATTTCGGAGCTACTACGAAAGATAAAATACAATACATTTACTATTAATGATGGATGGGATATTTTTCAAAGAATAATCACTAGTTCTTTTGAACTAGGAACCTTCTTCTTACAGTTTGTTTCATGGTGGAATCAAGAAAATTATGGTACAAATATTACGAGTCTTCCAGCTCCACCTCCTCCAGAGGTAAAAATAAAACCGAGTTTTTCTGTTTAGCAATTGTTAGGAAATAAATAATTTCCATTTATTAAAAAAAATAAAGGAAAAACAAGTAGTTTTAAATTATATAGTTTGGTAAATTGATCTCTTTAGTTTTATTCTAGTTTTACTTAGATTTTAAATATTTATATTTATATATACACGGAAATTGTATTATTGTATTATTTTAAAATAGATATCAAACGTAGCACAACAATACAAAGGAATTTGTCCAATTTGTTGCAAGTCTCAGCATATACATACAGTACTTACGGTATCTGGGTAAGTTGTTCCAAGTGTTATTATTCTTAATACTGGAAAATATTTTTACGCCCCTTTCATCGTCTCCGATTAACTTAATCGGCCGATTATTCTATTGGAATTGCCAGTCGCATTAATCGTTTAGCAGAATGGACCACTCACGACTGATAATTAATCGCCGATTAAGTTAATCGGAGATGATAAAAACAGGTTATTGATTTAAATTGACAAAGTAAAATAGCAATTAAATTTTTTAGTTATGTATTTTGTTATCATTGCATTTTATCGGAAGTACGGAAAAACAAAAGATGTCCCGTAACACATTATCCTGCCAAAGAAGATGATTTAATACGTTTGTATATAGACTAGTATATTAAATTAGATATGTTTGATATATAGAATATATATATGTTTGAGTACTGTAAAAAAATGTATATAAAATACGAAAAATGTGGAAAATTGGTACAAAACAATTATTTTGGGAATATATATGTAAAATAAAATTGTGTATATTGTGTGTGTGTGTGTGTGTGTGTGTGTGTGTGTGTGTGTGCGCGCGCGCGCGCGCGCGCGCGTATATATACGTACATGTGTATGTACGTACATATGTACATATGTATGTACGAAAAAGAGAGAAAGAAGAAAAACGATTTTTATTTCTCAAAATAACAGATTTTATTTTTCAAGATTTTGTAATATGATAAATGGCAAGGTATTTTATTTATAGCAATTTGTGCTTATATTGCAAGTTTTACAAACTTATATTTCTTCCGACAAAAAGAGAGCTTTGTCATGTTTAGCATAGAAAAAGATTTCTACAATTCTAATAATAACACAGGCCCACAAAAAAAAAATGGTCTGAACTCGAAATGGGAAACATGGTTTCTTACGTATTTTGAGGTGCTGAATCCAAATCTGAAGTCAAAATAGGTTTCCCAGATCGATCTTCTTTAAATTGCGTTTAATCATCAGAAAATCCTGGAAACAAGGTGAACGATTTCATCAAGATATTAAGGAGATTGAGAGACGATATCAAGAATATAAATATGATGACGGACTTCTGCTAAAAGTTGAGGAGAGACATCACTCCAAAAAGAAACAAACGTAAAAGAAATTCTTTACGCAGATCTTTCGAGGATAAAAAAGTACGTAAACGAGCAAAATATTACATAAACTACTTACACAAATAAAGTTCGAGTTAATTGGTTTACTTGACGACAAAAGGCCCACTTTATCGTCTGCTTCCGGTATAGCTGGCTTGGGATACTTAAGTTACTTGACAACGAAAGGCCCACCCTAACGATCGCCTGTTTCGGTTGTAACTAGCATGGGGTACCTAGTTTACTTGAAAATAGAAGGCTCACTTGTTCGCCTGTCTACAATGTAGTGAGCTTGGGTATGTGGTTTACTTGACAACGAAAGGTTCACTCTAACGAGATTATCTGAATGCTTTTCCCTGGTTTCCAGGATTTTCTGATGATTAAACGCAATTTAAAGAAAATCGATCTAGAAAACCCCCTATTTTGACTTCAGATTTGGATTCAGCACCTCGAGATACGTAAGAAGACATGTTTCCCATTTCGAGTTCAGGCCATTTTTTTGTGGGCCTGTGTAATGAAATAAAACGTATATATACTAAGTCACGAAATAATGAATAACATTCCAAAATATAGTCAAATCTCGCTATCTCGAATATGAAAGAACAAAAAGTAAGTTTTATAAACTTTCTGAGGTTTGTACAAATTTATACAAATGTTTCAAGTTCTAGAAAAAAAATGCCTAGAATTGAGACAAAATGTAAATTTGACACTATACTATACATTAGAGTGGAAAAAGAAAGACAAAAGCAAGAAGAAATATCGATGTAAAACCTCTTTCGCGATCTACTTTGAGTTGTAGAGATTTTATTAGTCACACTTTGAATTATAATGACTCGTTTCACAATATAGAGGTTATTTTTCAAATAATTCAAGCCGTAACGATAACTAACTAAAATAACTACTTGGAGATATTATCCTATTTTTCTTTGACATAAAAAGGTTTTCTGTAGGGAATTAACATATTCAAATTGTAGAGATTTTTGAGTTAACACGTTTGAGTTAACGAGGTTGAACTGTAATTTAAATGTCTTAACTGATACAAAATTCTTTACATTCTTAATATAATTTAAACCGCGACAATGAACTAAATATGTACAAGAATTTCTCGCACGCATACACACTACACAAGCCATCAAAAACATAATCTTATCTATGATAGATTATAAAATTAATAAGGCACATTTTTCTCTTAGAAATACAGGTCTAATTGCTTCTAGTAATTTCAAGTTCGCTTTGTATACAAGAAATTGTAAATTCTATATAAATGTTTTATTATTTTTTAAACCTAATATTTATTCAAATATGTCATAAATATGCTAAAAAGTTTAGCAAAGGACAGAAAGCACATTATAAACACCTCAGAATAGTTATAAACATTCTATTTAACAAAGTATATTCACTAAAATAAAACTTTAGTTTTATACGTTCTTTCCTACGTTTATCCAAATATTGAGACTCTTTTGCAAGTCAATATTGAAAAGATACTTTTGATTAATATCTATACACATTACAACACTTATGGACGTGCAAATTGGCTGATAACTGAAAGTGAAATTGTATAATTTTTGTTGATAAGATGTTTACAAATTCTAAATATAAAAAATTGCACTGGTATTAAATTTACAATACACATATGAATCACAGATGAATTAAATTCGACTTTAGAATATATATACAGGATGTCTGACAATTACTTAAAAATCTCTCGTAGGCAGGTAGAAGGAATAAAACTCAAAGTCAAAAAGTCCTGAACCATTTTTTTTCTATTACATATAATAAAGGAGTAGTAATTATTAGCCGCGCGGAGCGCTCACGCACACACCAAGCCTGTGGTTCACTGACACGCGTTCGGCTAAAGGTCGGCGCTAATTGGCCTGATTTATTCAATAATTACTCCTTTATTATATGTAATAGAAAAAAATAGTTCAAGACTTTTCGACTCAGTTTTACTCCTTCTACCTGCCTACGAGAGATTTTTAAGTAATTGTCGGACACCCTGTACATAAATTTAGAGAGAGAGAGAGAGAAAGAAATTACACAAAAAGAAATAGTATACGTATAAAAATACGTTTTATAGATATTTATATATTTAAATATGTTTATATATGTATATATCTGTTGTCATTTTTACCAAGCACTATAATTTATTTAAAAATTGATTCCTGTAGAACTTGTAAATTTACAAAGTTTGAAAAAAAGATTAATAAAAAATAATTTTAAAGAATCTATATGCGTTAGTATTAAAAAACGAACACATTTATATTTAGCACTTGTGCACATTATACAATTTTGTGTGTGTGTGTGTGTGTATATAGTAATAATAAAGTGATAAAATCGATTATTTCTCCTTATTAACATTTAAAACAATTTTTACTGAAACCTAGATATGTACGTATAATGAAATATCTTAATTTTAATTTTTGTTCATGTAAACGTATGTGTATACACACGCGTTCATATAAACAATAATTTTATAAGACTCACATACAATACATATGTATACAAGTCTTCGCTAATTTGCTTTGCAAGAAAAAAGAAACCACTACTGTTCAGCTATTCGCCAGTTACAGCAGTGTAATACGTATGATAAAAGCTTATTTTTCTTTCGAGAAGCGAATTATTGAAGACTTCAGTACATGTTCTCGTTATTTAACTTTTTCTTATTATTTAGTTTTTAATTTAATTGAATCAAAAATTCTGTATTTAATACGCGTCTTTTAATACTGCTTTCTCTTCACATACACACACACGCACACATACGTTACAACTCTTCGAAAAAGGCGACTCTAGCTTTAGTAGATCCAGATTTTACTTTTTTCAGTGTGCTATATTTATTCTCACCGAGTCGTACTTGCTCTTCATGCAGTTGATCCAAGTCGCATTGTTTCTCACCAACTTTCAAAACTTCGATTTCGGAACGCAATTCTCGCAATTGCTCCTGCAAATGTTTACTCTTTTCCCAATAATCGACTCTTTCCTTTTCGATTTCGATCGAGAGTTGATCGACATCTCCATCGGCGATAAGATCATAAGATGTTATGTCAGGTGATAGGTGTTCTCCGTCTAGTTGCAGAGTCTGAAGATCCGCTTGCAAGTCTGGTGGAAGCACTTGCGTCGATGGGAACATATTTGGCACAGGCTATCAAAAAATTAGATACGTAAAAGTCGTAAAGTTACGTATAAAGTTATATAATTTATAAAATAAAAAATATGTATTTTAATTATATATATATATATATATACACACACACACACACAATTATCATACTTACAGGTATTGTAGTAGTGTAGGTATTTCTACTAAGAAATTCTAATAATTTCTCCTTAGCTTCTTTCTCGGCGATTCTTGCTCGTAATAGTTCGTCCTTCAACTTTTCGGCTTCAGCAGCTCTACGTTCCGATTCTTGAACCAGTCTTTCTGTTAACAATTCAGCCTCTCTGGTCTTCCTTTCCAAGTGGACTTTCTCTTCTTCAGTCTTCATGTTGTTTAACCGTATACGCGTAATCTCTTGTTCGGCTTCTGACGCTTTCTGACTCAAAAGCATTGCTTCTTCTTCAGCTACGCGACTTTTCTCGGCTAAAAGATCTGCCGTCTCTTCAGATCTTCTCTACAGAATAAAAAATAATTAGAATATGGCGTGAGAGAATATATCCTTGTAAACAAGATAACAATAATAATCATCATCAACAAAAAATATAAAATTTTCTAATAACGTGTACGAGAATGTATTATTTCACAAAATAATAAAATGCATGTGCTGTATTTATAACTTTTGCATTGTTCTTTGTTTAAGATATCTTACAAGAGCTTCGTTTGCAAGCCGTATTTCTTCTTGATATTGTAAAAGTCGTTGCTCCATTGCAGCCTTCTCTCTTTCCGCCGCTTCTCTCAGTTGCTTTTCTCGTGCTAATTTGTTTCTTTCAATTTGCCTCCTAATAATATCACAAGAATTTTAAAGAAAATAATTTTTATACTATACTATAAATATTGATAAGATTCGATTTAAAATTAGTTACCAGATTAGACAATATATACATATATATGCTCTCTCACTTCAATTATTCTAATATAATACCAACAACAACAATAACAATACAATAATAGACAATATTTACGTTTATATTTACTGATGATAAAGTATACCTTGTAAAGATATGTGTTGACAGAGAGCGTAATATATATTAAATAAATAATTACCTTTAAAATGTTATAAGAGAGGATCTTGTCTAAAACATGTTTAAAAAATGTCACTTCTCCTATAAAATTGACAAAATGGTAGTACATTTTGTTAGAATTGTAATTATGTGATTGAGGAAACAATAATACGAAAACCACATGGTAACGACCATTTTTCTCTGTTTGAGAGACTTCGAGTAATCATTCAATTTAGGAGTCTGTGTAATGTAGGAAAATCTATACTTATTAAACCACTTCAACTTTTACGTTATTAATAGTAAAATAAAAATCTAATATTACATCATTAATTTAAGCAAATCATGTTATATTAGAATTTAACATTATTACTAATATACTAATTACATATTTGTAGTTAACTGGATTTATAAAGCATACAATATAAAACTAAATGATGTCAACTCACACATAATAATATTTGTATTAATTAAAACTAGTTAAACAAATAAGAATCAATCAAAGCATTCTCAATTTAGACACAAAATATCTCAGATATAAGAGATCTTTTTACAAAGGAATATTTTTTTACTTGCCTGGATTTTTCTTCTTTGGCCTGCGCTTTCATCTGCTGAACCTCCATGGAGTCTGGTTTTCGTCGCCTCATGAACAAATCGTGGTTGCCAATACACAGGTCCAGGATCTTAACAAATAACACGTGAGCAGCTTTGTCACTATTATGTTCGTCGAATCCTAAAGCTATCAAACCCTTCACCCAGCTGCCAACATCTGACTGTTTCTTTACCAGTTTATTCATGCGAACTTTCTGCGAGAAGAACACGAAGTTCGGTGATGTCTTCTCCACGGTTTTAATTATGAACTTTTTGTCGTCGAAGCTAATATGACGTATCTCTGACCATGTAAATGTAGTCTTCGGTGCTAATTTATTCTCCTTTTCGTAAATATTCAATCCTAACGACGTCACTCCAAGCCAAAGATTTGTCTCCTTCTTATTCTGTAATATAAAATTAAGCGTTAAGTTTTTTTTTTACAAGATAGTTTTCACAACGACAACTTTTAAATAACGCAACTTTTTTTTAAAAAAGATAAACTATCACTAGATTCTTGCTGTTTCCAACACTCACACTAATAGGAAAATAGTTTACACCATACATATCAAGATCCTGAGCAATCTTCAGATACTCCATTTCCGCTTCGTCTCGAGACATACCACGATGATCGGCATACCAAATTTTTATCCTATCTTCCCACATTTCTGGAGTCATTTGATACTGATCTATAACTCTCTGTGGAAGCAAATCTTCACTGGCGAGCATTCCAGGTCGATATGAAACTTCATCATAATCACCATACTATATACAAATAAAACAAAATTGAAACCTCTCTTCTTATTGGAAAAAAACTCCAAGTTAGGTAATATTCACCTTAATCTTCGTCAGAGTTTTTAAAATTAAAGACTCAGTACAAATTAATTACTACTATTCACTTTGCTACAATTAATATATAAAAAGACAACAATAAATTTAATTAATATTGAATAACATGCAATTACACAAAATAGACACACACATTTACCTTTGCTTGAACAGCATAAGAAGCTAGCAACACAGAAGCTTCAGGTGGACAATAAATGTCCATAGCTAAAATAGCTTGTTTTACTTGCAAAAAAAACAGATGCTGAGTAACTTCTTGCACGAGTTCTTCAGCCACATCCTCAGGATAAAATTTTGCCAGGAACATGAAAGATGTGGTTGGTTGTTGTGAGATACCTTGATCCTGAACTACAATCGATTCAGCATTGTCAACAAATAAATTCAACCTAAGCTATCTAATATTTATTATTATACTCACCTTTTTTATCAAGTTTTAACCAAGAGATAAAACCCTTTGCGTCTTCATACTGAAGTCCAAAATACCAAGTTTCCCTCAATCCTATTGTGCGACACACCAAGTCAAACAAATCTCTGCCTGTTGATCTCCACTGTTTAAATTGAATTTGAATTTATATTTTTTTAAGAGATATGCGTAAAACTATACAAAGCAGCAGAAAAACTATTTTTACCAACCTCGAGATTAAATTCGAGTTCCGCATCTAGAGTGCAGACTTTCACAGGGAAGGATTTCCTAGATTTTTTTCTCCGAAAAGGTGACATTATCTTATTTTACACCGTATTTATTTATTAGCATCGCAAAAGTCGATACGATCGCTGTCGCAACGCTGAACGGAACACAACGAACAATGCGATTTACGCTGGTTATCAAAAAATATCTCGGCGTATCACATTCTTGCGACGTATCCGTTAAGAGAGACAACGACCACGACGACCCAAGCGAGACAAATAACCTCACATATCTATCTTGGAGTACTCTGTCGACACACGACAAAATATGGAATTTCACTGACGCCAAACTTGACCGAAAATCTACTATTTCTTTGCGCGCGTGTTTATGCAATCACATCCTGTTTGCCTCGTTAATTTCATATGTACGCGATCGTCCATTTGTTATTTTCGCAAATTACGCTATTATATACACATACGGATCGAACCAATACAAACACACAAACACATATGTACGCCGTCTTTCGCTTAGATTGGCGGCCCTTTTCAAATATCAACAAATTACGAGATTTGAAAAAAGCGACAACCTGCGATCTAAAAAATCCCTAGCCAAAACACGGGAATCTCATGTAATTCCCTGCGGGAATTCGGAACGAAATCTTGCTCGTCTCTTATTGCGATTGGTTGATCTCCCGCCCCATACTTTCTTCCGTTCCGACGTTTCGGTCTGCCCTACTTGCGTGTGCCTCTTGTATACATCTTTGTAGTTTACGGCCATAAAGCCATTTTTATTTATGTGGCTTGTGACAGAGTTCGCGGTGTACGAGTTGATCGCTTTTAATAAGTGTCTGCGATTCATTTTGAGAGAGATGATTGATCTAGGAGAAATGTACTGTCTCGCGGTATAATGCGGCTCCTCACTGCATATAATTTGTGAGATATTCACGTGCATTTGTAAAAAAAAAAACATTTGTATAACGTGCCAGACCTCGATCGTCGCGGTGGAATACGATTCTTCCGAGTGATCAGAATAAGATGGATCGTCGCCAAAAGGTAAGTTGCTCCTAGAACGAATGCACAATGAGTATATCACGTATTATCACTCTTTCGTTACGATACATTTGCTCGTCAGTATAAAAACCTTCGACTACAATGGACTTTGAAAGTATCCGAAACAACCTCAAATTGGATTTGCGCCTGTAACTGCTTGAAACGGATAATTACTAAATAATGTACGATTCGATTATTTACACATTTCGAGATGATTAGTGCCTTTGAAGCGAAGACTCGTATCAATATGCGGAACAATCAGTGCGACGAAAGCTTGACTCTGTTTGAATTGAAAATTTATATTCTTGGTTAAAAAATTACTTTTTATCAGATGGTCGTGATTTCTCAACAGCCAAAAATCAAAATTGAAGAAGAGGATGACGACGATGTGGAAAAACTGAGACTGGCTGCCCTCAAGACAATGGGAATGGGAACAAAGAAAGACACCTCACAAAAAAAATTGGTAGTATTACAAATGCAGAAAGTTTTACCGCAAACTACTCATTCTTGTTTTCCTCGATATAAAAATCAACGGCCTACAAAGAAAAATATGTATTACAATAGGGCACAACAAAGACAAAATGGCGTAAGTTTTTATTATTATTTTATTATTAATATTATATATATATATATATATATATTATTTTTCTAGAAAAACATACTAAGCAAAGTATATAATTTTTACAATAAATTGTTACGCAACATTCTCACAGTTTATCTATCTATGTTTTATATTTGCAGAATGTTTATTATCCAAGTCCTCGTAATCCAAACTTGATAGCAATAGTACCAGTAGATGAGCCTTCTCCGCTTCAACAGGCCCAACCAATGTATCCTATTGAACAGGCTGAATCTTATCCTCAGGATCAAGGTAGATTTATCGTACTTCTAGACAAAACAATTGCACTTTATTCTTGATGATTGTGTCTATTTTTTAACAATCAAATGTTTTAGAAACATCCAAATTCTGTCGTTTCAAAGACAATGGAAGTGCTTCCGAAGAGGAAGATACAAAAGAAGCAAAAACTATTATAACCTCTTCGAAAACAGAATCATCTGTAGCAGATGAAAAACAGCAAGAATTTTTAGAACAAATAAGGCAGGAAGAATCTACGGAAAATCTGCAAAAAAATGGAGATGATCAAAAGGAAGAAGACTCTAACAACGACGATGATGACGATGATATAATTTTAATGGCTGATCTCGAGGAGGAGGACAGTTTAGAACGTTTAATGGACGAGATGGAGAAAGAAATGAACGATGGAAATAAGTCATCAGAAAAAAGAGAGAAGAAATTGAGTAAAAATGAAAACAAAGAGACAATAAAAAGCGACGAAGGAAACAAAATTCTCGATCAAAGGACTACGAGATCAGATGAAAGCTTGGTCAAAAAAGAGAGAAATAATACGAGTATTTCCTCGCTTTTAATCACAAGTGGCAAGAACGACAGGAGATCAATTTCTCCGCATGTAACAAACCGAGGTGGTCAAAAACGCAAGTCTTTATCACCAAGATCACGATCACGAAAGAAATCACCGAGAAGATCGCCCAGGAGATCCCCCATAAGGCAGCAAAAGAAATCACCGCGGGAATCGACGAGATATAGATCATCACCTCGAAGATCGCCGTTATCGCGATATTCACCCAGACCTAGATTATCACCTAGGCCTTCGCCACGTCGATCTCCGAACAGAACGAAGAAATCACCACTCAGAAAGTTGTCACCGAGAGGTAGATCGCCTAGGTTTTTGTCGCGTTCCAGATCGCCCCGGTTGCACAGATCGCGGTCGCCGAGACGATCAAAATCACCGAGGTCGTGCTCGCCCAAGATATCGCGCTCTAGATCGCCATCACTCAGGTACTCTCCACTCAGATCGTCCAAATCCAAGTCTCCCAGACCGTCTCCGAGAAGACTGTCACCTCGTCGATTGCGATCTAGATCTAGATCTCTCGGTTCGTCTCCTCGAAGAGACGTGTCCCGCTTGCGATCGCCGAAAGGATCGCCGCGTAGAACACCGCCACGCGGGAGATCACCGCACAGATCACCATGGTCGTCACCAAAACGCTCGCCTTCTCGTCTTTCGCCTCGACGGAGACGATCTCCGAGATGGTCGCCTAAAGAATTGCCCAGAAAGCAAGGTTCAAGTTCCGTCAATCTGGACAATCGAGACGGACATGCGAGAGACTCGTCTCCTGCTTTTAAAGACACAGCGCCGCTAGAAATCTCCAGAGTGAAGACAAAGCAGAAGGATGAGGTATACGAAAGACCGTCGACGACGACGACGACGACGACAACGACGACGATGACGACGACGACATCAACAACAACAACAACAACAATAACAACAACAATAACAACAACAACACCAACAACAACGGCGACGACGACGACGGAAATAGCAAAGGAATCCGTTGACGCGATCAATGATCCTGTGCGAGAGGCAAGAAAAAAAAAGTTTGAATCTACACGGCCTATCGACCTTATACATGCTAACAAAAAGATTAAACTCTCCAAGAAAGTTGTCACGAATACAAAAGCGGAGTCTTCTCTCGAAACAGAAGTTCAATTAAGTGGAGTGAGAAAAGCTGGCAGCAAATCTCTGGAGGAATATGACGTAAAGGAAACAAATGTATTCTCAGAGAATGCTTACGAATTCGAGGAGTTTGAGGGAGCGGAAAACACATCGCCGAGTGCTGTTAATACACGCATAGACATAGAGCCAAAAAAACCTATGGAAAAGGAAAAGAAAAAGAGAAAACACGACAAAGAATTATATCAAGTTGGAAAATTGAAAAACGAGCTACCTCTTTCCGAACGTATTGGAAAAGATAAAAAGTGTAAGAAACGTAAGGAAATGGTGTCCGAGGAGAATATGGAAGTATTCGAAGACATAGCGGTGGAGGAAGAAGGAGACTTACGAGCGGAGCTTAGCAGAAGACGTGCAGAGAGATTGAATAGAACAGTGCCGATGCAATCCGCTAGATTATTGCAGTCGGCTTTCAAAGGCGTCGTTAATGAGTAAGTAAAATATTTTAATGAAATCAATTGAATATAGTTGTAATAAATTAAATTTTTAATAATTTCTTAGAAAAGACAACAGAAGTTTACAAGTTGTCTTAGTGTGATATTGATTATTGTTTAATGTAAAATTTCACGTACATTTTCACCTTCTTGGTTGGATTCTTTTCAATTCGTACAAAATGATTATCCGACAAGACAGAATTACAAATCTCTAACGCTCGCAAAATATACAATCATATAATTTGTAAGTAAAAACTTGTGTTGCGCTGAAATAGATCTGATCTAAAGTCACGCTTTTAATTTATTCGAGTGCAGTTGGGATCGTTTTGTGTCGCGCGCGTGAAAATTGCACTCCAAATGATCACGTACACGTAATCGTTTGAATAAACAGTACGGAAAGTCCAGATTGTAAAAGTGGTCAGTAAAATAAAATGAAAAAATTTCAATTGTTAAAACAGGCGCATAACGCCGATCCAATCTGCCGATTAGAGATCGAAATAGGAAACGTATGTGAAATTTTATATTAAACAAATTTTATTTACAATAGAAATTTGTGAGATAGCTCCTATTGTCTTTTGTAAAAAATTATTATTAGATAATTTATATCGGTATAGTCTTTCTCTTTTCTCTCAACACTGTGTTTACTTATTTCGTTTCGCGTTTCTTATTGCAGAGTTGTAAAAAATAACGCAAAAGCTAATCAGAGACATGTCATAAACACTGATGACAAATGTAAGTTTTAAACGTGTCAAGCATCAATACTCTATAGTTTGATAAATATATTTTCTTTTTTTTAGAATTTAATTTCCAATAACAAATGTTTATTTTGTTGTAGCTAATCAAAAAGAAGTCAGACGGGTTACCGTATTGCATCGATCACTTCCCGAATTACACGATTCTGGTGGTAATTGTATATTACATGATATTATTATATGTTACATCACATATTTTGCCATATTAGTTGTGTATGTTCAACTGTGTTTTTCCTTTTATAATATTATTTTATGCTTAATTTTTTACTTAATTGTTTTATTTATGTTAATTTGTACGTAGATACATGTGTTTCGTAGACACTTTCGAAAAACAAAAAACAACTATTGCAACATCGAAAGACTGAACGACGCTACTGACGCTGGTTCCAAACGTAAACATAATTATATTCGTACGTATTATTTACAGATGAAAGCACTGTTGACTCAAAGGTACCTGTGCGCTTCAGACTGGGTCTCAATAAACAAGAATCCAGAGAGTCCAAGGTCACTCGTAAACCATCCAAAAGACAGGGTCGTAAGGTAAAACACAAAAATCATTTGTCTCTAAAAGATCCTGAACGCATTTTGTAAGCAATGAATTTTATGTTTTTACAATTACTTTATAAGTAGCATATGATAATTTTTGCCCGACTCTCTCGATTTGATCGTTATCTTACGATATTGCCAAGTACACGAAAGATATTTTCAAATATTATTCGTACTTTTATCAACTACTTTTATCGAGCGCAAAACAAAACCAAGAAAAATAGTAAACAATCTTCGATCTATATCGTTCTATATGTTATTCTATAATTCATACTTTTGTGACTTGATGGTGCAATTTGATGCAATTGAACAATCGATCGATCCCTTTTTATTATCGTACTCTGTTTATACATAACGATTGTTTATTCGTGACAAAATATCACGCAGTTCCCTAAAACTTACGTTTATAATAGATATAAAGTTTTTCATTGAAAGTTATGCACGAGTAAGATATCGTGAAAATAATTTACCTACAGAGAGGAATGATATAAACTTGTGTATAAACGATATGAAACAATAGTCTGTGCCTTTCGCTAATACAAGAACGTTATATAAATACAGTATATAGGAATGTAACTTGTAATAAATTGTAGCGAGGAAATAGAGAATATGTCTTTTTGTGAAATCGATATATGAATTTTGATATATCGGTACTAAAGATTCAAAAAAAAAAAAAACCATTAATAATGCAGAATATGTCACGAAATATTTTCTTGGTCGCCGTTCACCACCGCGTAATTCTGAAGAATTCGGTCCAGTAGAAAATAAAGGTGATCTCTTTTTTTTGTTTAGGAATAAAAAAAAATCCGCGTTCATCCAATTGCATATTTGTACGAAGAGAGAATAGCGATTCATCTTGTACCGCTCGTTATCTTATCAACACGTAAGGAAGATGCGCACGTTAAATAGTTATTGTCGTTTGTTAAACACATAAGACACACTTCTTTTTTTTTGAGATATAAAAAGTACAATAACTTTAATAATATTAGAGAATAGCATATTCAAATTTCAATTTATTTTGCGAAATAAAATGTAAACTCAATTAATTATCGTTAAGATCGTCATTTAGGAAAACTTTAAACTAGGTGTGATTATATTAGATTACTTGTTGTGTTGAAGAATATGTGTATAAGTTACTTTGATCGCTCACTTTAATAAACAAAAATCATTACTAATCCCAAAGTTACCTTTTGCAAAATACCTAAAGCATATTTTATATAAAAAAGACGGTAAAAACTTAATAGAAATATTTTAAATGTATATAGTGCTTAATCGATCAAAATCTATATTAATAAGAGAATGTGTAGTACACACGCGCGCGCGCGCGCACACACGCACACACACACACACACACACATACATACATACATACATACATACATACATACATACATACATACATACATACATACATACATACATACATACNATATATATATATATATAATTTATCGTGTACAAATTTACATTTAACAGTAATGCGGCACCAAATATCTTGTACAAAGTACATTTTAGCAGCAAAATAAGCAGTTAATAATAACTTTGTTAATATTTATTTTCTACGTGCAAGAAATTATTTTTTTTTTCCAGAAGCAAAATGTCAATTTTTGGAGATCTGAGCTAGTGATATTTTACAAACTGATAATAGTCTCTCTCTCTGTTTTATATACGATAGTACGATACTATATTGTATTGTGTATGTCCGTTCTTTGCAAGTAAAAGGAAAAGGAATTAGAAAATCGTGTATTAAATAGTTAACGCGATGATATTGTCACTTTTGTTATTCTCTATTTTAAATGTGCATTTTTTCACAAGTATAACATTAACTTATTTTTCTTATTGCACTTTAAAAAAAAGAGTGCAACTATATTTTTTTTTAACGTAACACATTATACATATAATTGTATCAATCTTAGAACGACATGTACTCATTTATATTTTTAATTAGATATCTTTCCATATTGGCATATAACATACATAGTTATTGAAGTAATATGTACATAACCAATGTGTGTGAAAAGTTTTGGGCTGTTGTACAGCTTGTGTACATAACAATCTTCAGGAATAATGTTCGTATACTGCGAGCTGAATATCTCATAGTATCTATGAAAGTGTAAAACGTTGTGCTTTTATGTCTCAATAAAGACTAAAATATTACATTTATAACAATCTTCTTCCACATATGAAGATGTTACTACGTTTAATGGCAGAAAACCTAAAGTTTAAGTCTAATGTTTACGTATGAATACATACATACATGTATGTATAAACGTACATGAATGTGTATATATAATATGTGTGTATACATATATATATATATATATCTTATATATATATATATATGCGCGCGCGCGCACACACACACACACAAACACGCGCGCGCACGCACACACGTGATATTATCAATAACTACATGCGTGCCTTTATTCTGCTTGATTAAAAGCTTAGGACTATGTATATAAATATATGTATCAAGTTATATCGTGTTCTTTTAAAACGCTTAATCGATAGTAAACGCGTCTGCTAAAAACGATGTTTTTTTTATCATGTCGTTTTATTTACACATCCGCGCATTTGTGTCTTCTGATATCAACTAAAGATTGCGTAATAGATATAACTAGAAATACAAAAAAAAGAGACTGAAAAGAGATTACAAACCACAACCGGTGCAAAAATTTAGTGTGATATTTGGAGGGAGTTTTACAATTTCCCTTTTATTGTACGCATTTTGATTATTGTAGAATAACATAGATAGTTAAACATAGCGTCTTTCAAATTTAATAAACACAATATTAGTAATAAAATTAAAAAGGAGAATATTTTAATCTCTGATGAAAACTGTATTTTTTTTATTTAACTTCTGTGTTATTCTGTGATATAACCACGATTTTGTCGCGGTTCTGACTGTTACTGAGTATTTAATTTATTAGTTTAATTTTTTGTCATGATGGTAAAAATACAGATGGAAGTAATTTATAAAGTTGCATTTAACAATATTAAAAAATCTGAATAGTAAGGCTTGTGTGCTAATGTTGTATACTAATTATTTTTTATTTTTTACTAATTATTTGTAACTTTAGATTGTAACCACACAAAACTAAAGTTGCAATTATTATGTTATTACTTGGTTTTTTAATATCCGAAAAATATGTTTTTACAATTCTATGTTACTTTTTATCATCGTTTTAAATTTATTTTATACATTATATATTTTATAGTTGAATATTACACTTTTGATGTGTGTTAATTCGGCTTTTCTATCTATTATTAAGATGTTTAAGACCATCTGTAATTTGCCGCGCGAACTATCATGTTATGTACGAATGTACTTATATTTATATATCTGTGTATATTTGTGTGTACGTATATATCTTCTCGCAAAAAGAAAGAAAAATATTGCATATTTTCTACTTAGATGATGCGACATTGAAAATAATAGCGAAGTAAGATCGATGAGGCTTACTTCGCAACTTAAAATTAACAAGATCTTTTATTTCAGAAAAATACAGAATAAAATATTTTTTCAGCTACTTAACAACGAGTTATATTTCTTTCCATATTGAAAACACCTATTAGTCTATTGACACTTAACCATTGTAAGCATTCACATGAAATATCTTCTTGTAACTCAAGTTATTATTTTAACCAGTTTGATATGTACAAACCGTTATAGGTCATTTATGTGACATCGACTGAAAAAACAACAAATAAATGATATTGCATTTTATGAAAAGTTTCTCTTTCTTTCAAGTTAGTTTTGCATCAATTAGAATCGATTACAAACGTCGTATGTATAATTTATTCTGTGCGTGATTCCTTAACTTTATGGTAAAGATAAACTTGTAAAGAAATATGAGTAAACAAAAATAAGAGAATTCTACAATAAAAGAAAATAATCAAAAGAATCTCTGTTAGAGATCTCAATTTTAGATAGATTTTTAAAAGAGTACTTTTTTTTGCAGATATTATCTCGACTGTAATATTGCACTGCACAGGTAAAGTTCAAGATTTAATACGTGAAAAAGAACAGACAGAGAGAGAGAAAGAGAGATAAAAAATGAGACTACAATTTGGAAAAATATACATTAGACAAAAAATCTAAACCAACTGCGTTTAGATCTCCTCACAACCTGATCTTTTTACATATGTTTATTTTTGTTTCTTTAACGTACAAGAATTGATGTCACTTATGTCGATAATAACAGTCACACACACGATTCCAGTACTCTCTTAAATCTATTCTGCATTTGACGAAGTGACGGAGATTGTTCGGTTGACAGGTTTGAGACACTCTGTACGTAGCGCCAAAAGCTGCAACTAGAATGGCAACGTATGTAGAACTGTGGTTTTTTCAAGATACTGTGCCAGTTTTAAAACTTCAAAATCGAAAAAAAGTATTTAAAGGCCGCAAATCGATTTAAAATTTATCAGAAACTGTACAACTATTGTTCGCACGTACGTAATACGTAGTATGTAGATGCAGGCGCAGACGCGAACGTGAGCGAACGTTCGTGAGAGCTCGCTCTAGTAATCAATGGCACGGCAAGGTGTTTGAGACCGTTATCAGCCACAAACAGTACAGTACACGACGAATATACGCGCAAAGACGATTATTCGTCAGGCTCCTTTTCACAAACAACCTATCTTTATGTCAATTTTTGTGAATGCAAAAATTTCTTTCAAGTCAAATATATACATAGCTTTGCGTAATACGACGAGCTTGTGAACAACCGTGTGACAATTTCAATTATGACAAGTTACGACGCAAGCTAGTGAGTGAATCGTTCGGCAAAGGAAAGAGATTTACTGTGCAAGTTGCAGTCATCTCTTGTACAAAAACGATGTCGTTGTGACGATGTAAAAATAAATTATCCTGATAAATCATCAAATTGAGCGCACGAGGGTGGACCATGAACCATGGACACGTTACAGGTCGAAAACGACGCGATTTCGGAAGAGAAACGTAAAGAAGGTACGTGTTCACCTCTACCGAAAAAGCTCGATTTCGGCATTGTTTTGGTTTGAAGAGATCCGGAAATAAGTGGGCGAGTTTCTTGCCGCAGGATGTCTTGTCATCCCTTTTGTTGATAATTACGTACCATCAGTTTTATTGCGTACAAACTATAACTTTTAAATTTACGATCGCTGATAGCGCTTTGAAGATAATTTAATTTTACGGATCTTTTTTATCACAAAAGTGTATTTCAGTCCAGTTTGTTAAAATCAGTACAACGTTGCGTATCAATATTGTATGTTACATGTTTGTTTCGTACTTCGCGTCAAAAGTTATATGTCAAAATTAATTTCTTATATTATTTCCAAACACTGGACAGTTTATAATACATTTACATGACAATTCTCGATAATATATATTGTCTTTATTCGAAATCTGGTTTTTACTTTTTTACATTCTCTTTCATTCTTAAATAATGTTACAACAGTAATATAATTAATGCATCGTGCACTTTGTGCAAACTTTACGCACTTGCTTTGCAGAGAATTTTTTATTAATTTATGTAATACTCTGTTGATATGTGTCGCTTAATCAACGCAACAGGCTTGCTTTATTTGGGTTTAAAACTGGTATAACAATATACATGGTGCAAAATTTTTATACTCCTTTATCAACAAATGGGAGTCGTCGCTCTCGCTACACGACACCCAAGTTTACATCTGGACAATTATTTGGCAGTTTATTACGTACAGTATATGAGTTGCCTATCTATTTTTCAACTTGAAAACTATATTTTTTCCGTCATCCTAAGAAGAATCTAATAATATTTCAAAATTTCCTTGTATTGATTTATGTCACAAAAAAAGTCATTCAGCTGTGATCTATTATTCTCTCTCTCTCAGAAATTTTGTTTGATCAAAATTATACCGGCTTTAAACTTTGCTGAAATTGTATTTACGTATCTATTATTGCCAATGTTACCGCTTATTTCGTTAGTATCTCGAAGTGATATCATAATTTAATCTTGGCATGCGGAACGCAACAAACACAGCAAATTCACTATTGCATCGAGTACTTTGCACTTGAGTTGGATACATGGTTAGCTGGTTGTTGGTGTATCGCGCGACTACGCTGAACGCAAACTCTCTCTAATGACATGTTTCAAAGAACGCGCTTAAAACATGGGTAGCGGCGGAGTTGGTGAATTACCAACGATATTTCACCCTCGACGATCGCGAACGTCGAACGTAAGCCTCAACGAGGATCAGCCGACCCACGGGCTGTTCATCACACCTATCCAGGTTGCGCTCCATACTTCAGGTAAATTACAACAAGATACGGATTTACGTGCGGATTGTATCCCACAATATCAATTGGAGAACGCAACTAGCAATCTAGGGAATGGATTCGTTGCATTTTTGAAGTATCTACAGTGAGTGAGCGAGCGAGCGAGCGAGCGAGAGCGAGAGAGAGAGAGAGAAAGAGAAAGAGAGAGAGAGAGAGAGAGAGAGAGAGAGAGTGTGTGTGTGTGTGTGTGTGTGTGTTTGTTTGTATTGTGTATATATGTATATATATATATAACATACTCAGGTTTTTTTAGAGAGGCCTGTACACTATAGTTTAGTATTTTAGGATAATAGATTTTAACATTTTAGCATCGATAGCTTGCATTATACGCGTGTAATACTTCGACTTCTCTTGCTGAGTGCGCGCGCGCACACACACACACACACACGTGTATATAAACACACATATATACTCTACCTGTGTGAAACCAAACTTTCAAAGTTCAGCTTGCTGAAAAAATTGCATATAGTATCACTTGAAACTTTTTACAGACACGCATACACAATCACACGGCTTTCTTTAGACAGAAATCAGATAAAAATAATTTATAGCTTCTTTTTTCCTTTAAACACGATTCGCAATAATCTAATCTAAACAATCTAGTTAGTTAAGTAATACACGCTTTACATCTACTGAGAAAATTCTTACGAGTAATTTAAATTTCGGCCAGTGATTTATGTCCGATCATTGAGACAGGTATCTTATAAAATTTTTAAATAAAAGTCTTGAATGAAACAAGAAACACGTAAACGTAAGACTAGAATTCAACGGATCTGATCGATATTCCAGGATGCGAGTTGCAGCAAGGTTGCAGTGTCGCCGACGGATGCGGCGACTCTGCGTCGAGCTGTCGCACTTTGGAGACCACCGGAAGTGGCGGAGGTGGCGATAACGGGGGTGTGCAGGCTCAAACAACCGGTCAGACACAGCCATCGGTTCACATGACCACGACTTCGACGCCCAATGTTCAGCAATCTCAACGGCCGAGTTCAATCTCGGCTTGCTTCGCGTCCTGCTGCGCGGAGAACGCAAAAAAGGTCGATGAAACAGATTTGAGAACAAAAACTATGTATTTTTCCATATATATTGTATAAAAAGTATGTGCAAAGCGTGAATAATCAGCTCTTCTGACAGAGAGTATTAAAAAAAAATGGTAGACAATTAGCGCTACTACACTAAAATGTATGGTAAAAACTAACCGATAGATTGCACGGCATTTCAAATCTATTCCAACTCAAATCTCACTTTGTTTGAAACTTCACCCCTTGTTGCAGTAAAACAAACAACGCTCGGTCTTTTTACACATATATGTCATAATAATAAATAAAGTACCAATTTTAATTTAAGTGTTTTCTTTAATTTTTAGACTAATTATACTTTTTTTTTTGGTTGCAGATATATTTCGGAGTGTGCGTAACAATATGCGTAACCGCGAGTTCGGTCGGAGCGACTCACTGCATCAAGTATTTGTATTTTCACAAGTCGGATAAAATTTCACAAACATCCATCTCAGCAAATTCCTCCACAAATGGACTTTCTCATCAACATGTCAGTTTGTTTTCGATCGATCTATTCTTTCTTTATGATCTTCAACGATATAATTAATAATGTAACGTAATTATTTTTAGATCATCTTTCCATATAACGCACCGTTCTTTACGACGTGGTTTTGCACCAATTGGGAAGTCTTGTATTTTCCGGTGTACTTCATCTGTCAGGTCGCTAGCACCAAATGCGCCAATCCTTCCGAGATAATTGCCGAAAGCCTTCGCGGTTTTCGCGACAAAGGTTTCACCGGTGGACGCTTTTTAACCAGATGCGGCTTCTTCTGTCTTTTGTGGATCATCACGAATTATCTGTACATAATGTCGTTGAAAATACTGTTGGCTACAGACGTGATGGCATTATTCGCCACCAACGTTTCGTGCGTCTACCTGCTCTCGTGGGTTATTCTTCACGAACAATTCGTAGGTGTGAGGGTAAGTTGTTTCAATAAAAATTTATGCTCTTTTAGTTCGCCGAAATGCACTTTTCAGAATTTCTGACAGGGAAAACCGAGTTGTCACACAGCTTATATTTCGCTTATTAAGTACAAGGAAATATTCTTCTCTATAACGTAGATTACACTATCACGCTAGTCGCATGTTCAAATTAGTTTTTATAGTAAAAACTTCATTTTTTACGTGATTTTGCGCTTCCTTACACAACTCGCGCTAAATATTTTATTAATATCGTCATATTTATCTTGAACCCGAAGGTAAGCGTGACGATATTAATTAAATCTTTTGATTAACGTTCGCAGATAGTTGCGGTTATCCTCTGCAACACTGGCATCGCACTATTAGCTTACATGGACGGTATAACCGGAAGTCCGACACTGGGAGGCGTAGTCTTAGCTACAGCAGCGGCAGCTGGCTCTGCTGTTTACAAAGTGAGCGCTTGCAATCTGCAGTTGCGAAAAACGAAATTTTCAATAAATCGTTTGTTTTTTTTAGGTCCTCTTCAAGAAAGTAATAGGAGAAACCTCATTCGGACAAATGTCCTTATTTTTCTCTCTAATCGGTTTGTGCAACGCCGCGCTGGCATGGCCAATCTGCTTGGCTCTGTATTTTTCCGGAGCGGAGACTATTCATTGGTCAAAATTGCCGTGGCCGGCGTTATTATCCGCCAGCGTTCTCCACTTAGGTACGAACTTGTTTCGAGCTAAACTACCTCCTAGTCTCGTCCAAACGACGTATTTGAAAATATCGAGACGTGGTCATCTCTGACCACGGTTTTTCAAATAACGCGTGTTGCGTCACGAGATGCGACACACGTAAACTTGTAATTACAAAATATAAATTTTATATCATTTGTTCGCAGTCGCGAATATGTTGGGCAACTTCAGCGTTGCGCTCACGTACGACCTCTTCATCACTCTTGGATTGATAACGGCCGTACCTGTATCCGCTGGTAAGTAAAAACGGATTTATTTAGTATTTTTTGGTTTTATTCCCGTACCTCTTCCCACATCTCCATTTATTTTATCAAATGATTCGATTTTTGTATGTTGCAGCGTTGGACGTTATTTTCTACGGGGCTTATTTCATGGGTATGAAGTTAGCAGGCATGATCTTTATAGCGGTCGGTTTTTTCCTCGTGATGTTTCCGGATAATTGGCCGGATTATATAACAAAGCTCCTCCGGTACGTTGTCTCAGGTTGCATTTCGCACAGAAACGCAGTTCTGTGGTATGCACTTTCAATTCTCGAAAGAATTTTTTTTTTCTATTTTTAGTCCCTAGTTCTCCCTAATAGCAAATTCTCCGTACGTTCTGTACATTTGTCTCTATCTTTTTTACTCTTGCTACAATACCGGACTGTTTTTTACCTTATTTAGCATCAGAATAGACAGCGCGTAGTTTATTTAGAACGTGCTTGACTCGATCTCTATATATACGTATACATTTATTCTCTTTTACACTACTTAAATTCTTTCAATCTTTTTTATACTACAGTACAAACTACCGTCTTATAAAAGTTGCTTTTACAAAGCAACATAAAACGTTCCCTGAAAGCATATCGTCGCACACAACGTATATCTTCTCAATACGTAAACTATTTCCCTTCCTTCAAAAAAAAAAAAAAAAAAAAANAAAAAAAAAAAAAAAAAAAAAGAACCATCCAATTAATCGCGCAATCATTAAAACTAATATCGGTCATCTTTCATACGAACGGACTACGGTTGTTATTTTCTCACGACATATTATTTACTATTACACAAGCTACATTTTCTTTCAGTTCTATTATCAAGTTACATTATCTTTTATTTTATTTCTACAAAATCACGAGTCGTGTTAAAAGCTGTTATATGCGATATTTACTTTTGCATCTCATCAGCTACTTTACTTTCTACACATCTCACGTCTTTCTTTTTCATTTATCACGCTATGTTTTAGATTACGCAAAAGATTTCGTTCCGCTACATAGATAACCTAACACACAAACTCGATTGTGATCGAGCGTAGAGTTTTTCTTTCACATTTAAAGGTAATTCACGCACATTGTCACGCGCTTTGCAAACATTAAAGACAAGTACTGATATTGTTTTACAGGATGCCTGGAGTACGCAACAAATTTAAAGTATAATCAAATAAATATATCGTTTTTTTTTTATTACGTACACATACATACAAATGAATATTAATCAGAGTAAAAAAAAACCTAAAATTTCGCAATTTTCTACAATATATATATACGATCGAAATCTTGAAACACATGTCGTGAAATTACAGCAAACCAAATTAGTTTTTGTTCAACTTAATTGTCAAACAATATCTTGGATAGAATTCAAATCACTGGTATTGGTACAAAAATTGTTATATTATTTTTTATATTTAAAGATTCTAAAGTATATACATACATTGAAAATATGAAAAATACGAAAAAATACTTATATCAATACAAACCCTTTTTTTCTTAAAGTTTAATATTAAAAAGCGCATATTATATAGAAGTACTCTACTGTTAAGTCGTAAAGTGTTTAAATAGAACAAGTGAAGTGGGAAAATAAGACGATTGAATTGCTTGAGCCGCTCGATGTTGTATTGTCGTCTGTAAAATTGATGTCGAAACTTCATCACTCGCTTCCCAACAATCAGGATCTATTATATGCTGTTACAGAAACGTAGTCCTCATGAGTCACAGCACAAGGTAAGAAACTGCAGACCGTACATCTTGCTCTAGTCTTACAGAAAATTCATCCTTCTGTCGTATTAACTGTCTATATAGAATTATTGCAAGCGTCCAGTAAACACAAAATAACAGTAAGGTAACATTAATATTATAATTTCCTACTCAACAATGTAACTGCGATGTGACATACCTACGTACGTAGCAGTTATCATGTTGAGTGAGAAATTATAACATTAATGTTACGTTACTGTTACTTCGTGTTTACTGGGTGTAGCGAATCAAAACGAGCTTGTCGAATCAAATATAAATGTGTTATTAGTATTTTGCAATATAAAATTTAATCATATGTTTATAAATTTACGATTGTAAAAATATGCCGAAAATATCTACAAGATATATATTTGCAAGAAAATTCTTATAAAAATAATTTCACAGAATCACATATACACAATGTGTATGTACGACATTTGTATGTATTTATGACATAAAAATTACGCACACTATAATAAATATATAAATAATACTTTTCTGTAGAGATATATAATTCATTCCCGATGAATTTTCCGTAAAAGAGCAAGCGGTATAGATGTCTATTAGGCGCATGATTTAACATTTTTTTGACTTTCTCTCCATTCGAACGCATGTTTGCAGATTACTATTACTATTCGTTATTTTTTTTTTTTTAAACAAGATGCTTGCGTATCTCTCTGTCTCTCTCTCTCTCTCTCTCTTTTTCTTTCCCTACATTACGTTTTTATATTTTATTTTCCTTTTCGATTACAACGCATCTATTTCCTTTCACGCATTTTGTGTCCGTATTAGCTTTATTTGCCCAAACTTTTGTTCAGACTTCGATCGTCGATAACAAACGCGTGTTTAGATTCAAGATTACTTCTATCATTGCCCATATAATATTGTCCGGAAATCGAGAAAGATTGCTTGCCTTGACGGTCGTGATCGTAAAAATATCCTGGAACGGTGTGCCCATTTTATCCTCGACATATTTGTACGATTTAGTCACGTTTATATATATATATATATATATGTACATATTTTTGTATGTTAATCCCGCCCGATTAAAATTAACGAATCGTCGTAGAAATTCTGCTATTTAGTCAAAATAAATTTTGTATAAATAATATTTCAAAAAGAGATCGCGCACATGTATATTCTTTGCTTAACAGAATATGCAAAATAAAACTATAAATACTCGTATGAAATACATGATTTATTAAATTACGATCCGTTGAATTTCTACGACAGGGATAGCCATGTCTTCCACCTTGACCTATCTATCTCTCTCTCTCTCCCTGTCCCTCAATTGTCGAGTTGTAACGTGAACGCACGAAGAAGTTCTCCAATATAATCTTTAAATAAAACGGAAACCGTATAGATGTATTGCTCAGGGAACACGCGGGACAGAGTCGCTCCCCTCAATTAAATTAAAAAAAATTAAAAAAAAAATCAATGAGATAACATACCCATGCTGCGAGACACCGAAAGGAACCGCCCGCAGAGAGATAAAGAAACAGACGATCGACTGATAAAAGCCTCGGGCTTGATGTATATATACGCAGTACCACAGGGGGCGGCCAGCAACGCAGTGGCGGTAGGAGTATTAGAGGTCACACAGGGCCGTCCTTACAGCAACGACAGCATCGTTTGAGGAGCTACGGTGTCTCCACCGCGCACGGAGACGGCCAGACGCTACTTCCGGTCAGCAATAACAACAACAGCTGCAGCAGCCAGCCCGTCATCGTTGCCGCTCATCATCGGCAACACGTTAACAACTCCCAACAGTACAACTCGACCTCCGAAACCCAATCGCGTCGTGTTGTCCTTCCCTCCATCTCGACCCTGATCTCCACCTCAACCACCACCGCCGTCAGCAACAGTCGCTCGCATGATCCTCGTTATCAGCAGCAAGGTATGAGAACGATCAGGCTGGTGGCTTCGTCAAAGCCACGCGCGACGCGGTAAGAGAGACGTGCAGGTAGGAATCACCAGATGCGGGAAAATCGGTCGTTAATCGTGGTAGTTTAGCTTCGTTAGACGACGAAATAACGTTGCATTTATTCGTTTAGCGCTTTATTGTGCCACGCTATGTACGAGAGAGTAAAATATCGACAATTAAAATCGAGAGGGCGATCGATAGCTAGCGCATTATTTCGAAAAACGTCCGAGCTGCGTAATACGTTGCTGTCTGTAAAGCTAGCGGCTGTATGATTGATTCAATGTAGCATAAGCAAACAAATGTAACTATACAGGGTGTTTTACAAACATGTACATTCTATCTCACAAAGTTTTTTCATAAATTTAAAACTTGCAAGTTTTTTACCTAAAATATTTTACGGAGAAGAAAGGATTTTCTATAAAATATAAACAAAAAACATGGAAATAGTAACAAAACGTCCTGTATATTGGTACGAAAGCACGTGCGTGATGCGAGGAATGTGCAAAAATTGTCGAAACTCAATTTCTTTGCATTCTACTTGTCCATAGTTTGTAATAATTTTAGCAATCCTGTGCGAATGTTTTCAGATATTTGTAAATTTGTTCCAAACCTTTAGTTTTATTATATATATATGTATACAGAGTGTCCCGTAATTGCCGTCTCACCGCTTGTAGGCAGGTAGAAAGAGTTATTCTAAGACAAAAAGTCCTATACTACTTTGGAAGATTCGCAATAATTAACGAAATATTAATTAATAAAAATCCGCTAATCAGCGTGCATCCAGCGTAAGGACAGCTCAGTCTGTCGCGCCGTGGATCTTACGCTGGATGCACGCTGATTAGCGGATCTTTATTAATTCATATCTCGTTAATTATTGCGAATCTTCCAAAGTGATATAGGACTTTTCGTCTTAGAAGAACCCCTTCTTTTTGCCTACGAGCGGTGAGACGATCATTATGGGACATCCTGTATATCTGTGTACGCTATCTATAATACAAGATTTTGGGATGAAAATGCATTGAAGTGTATGTTACACATTTTTTTTATATCGGATGTGAAACCATTACTGTTCTAATTCAGTTCGGTAATTACACAATTATACAAAACGAACGGGCAATCCTATGTGAAAGTCGTTCTTGTATTTGAAAGTTTTTTTTTTTTTAATATTAAATCAAATGATAAACATAATAAAATTATACGGTAGTATGTTTTCGTACGACAATAGGATACCCGTGACTTTTTCCGATGAATAAAAAAAATTGACTGTTTGTCTTCGCGTGGGGATTTTCTAAAAAAGTATAAAAGCAAAAAAAAAAAAACGAAGTAACATTTACAAAAAACAATAAAATTATGAGAATGTTCAAGATGAAACATATGTTAAAGAAACGTACGTTATTACAGTTGAAAATTTTATTTAAAAAATTTGTTTAAAACGGACAGAGTTTATAGACTTTTTTTTATCGATTTAAGTCGGTATTACAGTATATGGAAAGTTTCTACGCGATTTTTTTTCGTCGAGCGCCTATCGAAAAAGAAACGCACACAGTATGCATGTTGATCGATATTTCTTATTGACGACTATCGGAATTGTTGTTAATAAAACAGTTTTCACTTACAGATGGAGCAGGAGGCACAGGCACGGCATGTCAGATGGATCGTCGCGGGATGTAATCGATTATCGAACCGGTTACATAAAATCGCACTTGCGTTCGCCGTCGGGCAGAGTTCGGTGACTAATCACACCGAGAATCACAGCAATAACAAAGAGATTCTGTCGCAGATATGTAGACTACTTTGGTAGCAGTTCGATGGCCAAAGTTATCATTGAAGTGTAAAATAAACACAAATTCGATATCGTGGAGTAAAGAATTATCATAAGTACACTTTCTACATTTAAAGTTTTTGAGAGCAACTAACATTACACATTAAAGAATATATGTACATAGAATGTTCAATAATAATCACGTCACCTCTCACAACAATCAGGTAAAGCGGATAGGAGACAGCTTAGTCATTTTCACACGCTCACGATTGTTAAACGCGCGACGCGATTCAATGGCCCAAATAAATAAAACTGCATATTATAACAAACACAATAAAAATTGTTCAAATTATCGAATCGCTCAGTGAACAACATGGAATTGTTTCTTCACGCGGACGCACGCTCGTTTGCTTATTAATCTTTATTAATTAATAACTTATTAATTATTACAAAACGCGCAAAATAGTAAAAGAGTCTTCGACTCAATACAACTTGCTCTACATGCCTTTGCTTATGAAAAGTGATATGGTTATTACTACAGAACATTCTGTATATGCGCGCGCGCGCTCACACACACACACAAAAGGAATAGAATGTCAAAGTTGAGATGTTTGGTTCTCTCACATTAAATTCTGATATATTGTCATCAATACTACAATAAATACTACGTGTATCAATATGACATCAAAAAAGACAATCAGAAATAGATCAGATTAACTCTGACGTTGTTCTTTGTTTATAAAAATATCGATTAGTATAGATACCGAGTTGATTGTATAACAAGTGTTTCGCCAGTTAACAGTTAATATACGATGTCGTTTTACTATATTACGTCGCATGTACAACGGCTCAGTAGGAAAATTCTTAATACTACAAAATTAACATAGTATATTATTACAGGATTGGTAGTTTTATCTTCCTGTATTCCGACTCGCGAATAATAAATGTAAAATTTTCTCTATACTATAGTGTTCCATACAGAAAGACGCGGTATTAAAGTTTATAACAATAGAAAAAATAAAAAAAAAACATTCAACAACCTAAAAAAATCGACAGCAGCTCACTTTATAAGATATTTATATCACTCCTGTGTTGTCTCAGAAGTTTTGAACAAAAGTTGACACAAAGAAAAAAATTAGACAAGTATCGAGACAAATATCGCGTAACGAATTGAAATTTTTGTTTGCAACAAAACTTGTCATTGAGAACTCGAATAAAACTATATATATATTTACTTTAATAACAACATGTACTTGCGTATATATACGTATACAATATATACTTTCTAAGCAATTTGTCTCAAATATACTAGTAACGAGTATTATATATTTTTATAAACGCGTTTCATATAAAAGATTTTTATAAAATTTATTTCACTCTATATATCATATAAATAATTATCTCTATTTGTGTGAAAATCCGATATGATCGTTGTACATAATTATTACAAATATCGCTTCACGATTGTAATATTTCAATTCGAAGCATGTCGGAATGTTCACGAAAAAAAGTATGTTTCATTTATATATATTGTCAATTATACACACGCGATAGTTACAACCGCGATAACAATAACTCTAACATTTGTCTATCATGAAATATAATATAATGATTTTTTGAAATAAAAACAGATTTTTATTAGGGGATCCAATAATACTGTATTCTACAGTTTAACGTGTGCTGATATCAACACGTAACGTTAACGTAAGTTCTATCGTAAAAAAAAAAAAAAAAAAAAGTGATGTGTCAATAATAAATTTAGTTTAGTAAGAATAGTACTCACGTCGTCGTCACTTTTTGTCTCAGAACGTTGAGAGATTAAAATATAATATGTAGAAATATAACTACGAAAATCTCCCTTCACGCCGTTTTGCGCACAGGATGTATCGGATGATTTAGACCGGATAAATCAGGAGGATGTTTCTCGAAATAACTAATCTCTCGCATTCCACTTGCTGCAATTTCCCAAAGATCGGGATGCTTTCGCTTGAAATTGGCGTACCATTTTGCAACAAAAGGCCACGGATCCAATTTAAAGTCAATGGCTTCCAAGCACATTGTCGCGGTTATCAATGGAAAGTCGGCGATTGTTAAGTTATCTATTAAATAAATAAATAAATAAATAAATAAACATTTATATATGAATACACACACACACACACGTCATCAAGTAGATTTGAAAAATTGTAAATATTAATTTCGGGAAATAATAAAACTATACAAAATACAAATAAATAATAAAATAAGCACAATGTGTTTAATTTATCAATCTAAAATATGCTTACTGCCTGCTGCGTACTCAAAATTTTCGCGTTGCAAGTATTTATTGAAGACATCTAACGCGATGTTTGTTTTCTTCAAACCCAATGGCGTGCGTTTATAGTCGAAGAATATTGGTGCCATCTGCAATGTGTGAGATCACGCGAAATACAATTGCATAAGTATAAATATACGTAAATACAAAAAGGTTGACAGAATTATTGAAAAAAAGTAAGCGACAACATATTTGGAAACTTACAACATATTCGGAAATGTTACGATAATAAAACGCCAAGTTGAAACACAGACGATGATTGACAATTGCTCGCAGTTTCGGTTCTTTCGGATACAACCTACCACTTGTATCATATTGATCAGCTAGATACTGCAAAATAGCATTGCTGCAACATAACGCAAGACGGTAGACAAATTATTTTTGTACAAATACAAAAGCAGCAATTCCAAGTTTACGCTGTCTGCATAATCAACGGAAAAACTGTTCGATATCCAGAAAAATAAACTTTCAAGTTTGAAAATGCTAGAGAATATCTCTTCGAACTATCATAGGTTTGTTACCTTTCACCCATTATAAGATCGTTATCGACAAGTGTAGGTATCTCTTTTTGCGGATTTAGCTGTAAAAGTCAAACATGGTTTTTTATAATTGTTCGCTACGTATATTTCTACACTTTTCCTTTCAACAATTATTTTGTTTACGAATACCTTTTCGTAGTCTTCAGTCATATGTTCACCTTTTCCATAATCCACATCGATCAACTCGTACTCAATGTCCAAAGTTTTCAACAGCTGCCGACACGCGAGAGACGGCGGACCGTCCGAAACAGAGTACAGCTTCATCTACACAAGAAATATATCACATAGATTTATATAGATATACACAATTAATTATACAAACAATATTAATAAATTCACCTAGAATAACAAACTGTGCAAGATAAACACAGCGATTACAACCTGCCACGTAGCAAATATACTATTACAAGATAACGAATGGTTACGCGTGCAGAAAACTCAACTCAACGTGAGAGATCATCACTTATAATAAGACTATTCTTCAAAACCTGCAACGGTTCCAAAAGTATGATCCAATCATAAGTGATTATCACTCAACGTTCAGACGAGTTTGAACGTTGCGCAACCGTTGACTCGTCTGAACGCACTCAATGCAATCGCCTTTCACCGTTCTTCCAAAAGGCTCTTTCAAGGCTTGTCGGACGTACATACAAGTCTCTACAAATAGGACGCGTCGCAACATATTACGCAGGTAGCAACCGTTAATTTTTGTACCCAAACCAACAAAGTTCATCCATAGAATTTCAATGGCTTCACTCATTAAAAAACAAAAGCATTGAAATTCCATATTGTTGAATTTTACTGGTTTTGACAAAAATTAACGCAATAAGTCCGCAAGGTAGTCCCAAAGCCTGTCCTATAACGCTACGAGCGGGAATTCAAATTAGACAAAAATTTAACCACTAAGAAGAAAAAAAATGAAATTTAACGAACTCGACCGTCATTAGTCAAATTGCAATTTCGTCTCAATTCATCACAGTGTGATATCGGCTGAATAACAAATGTTATCGCATTTAACCCAATACGATGTATTCATTTTATCATAGCTTCGCATTTATATTAAATTATATTCTTGGAATTGTAAAATTATAAAATATATAAATCGTAAAATATATTAATTGTAAAAATATAAAATATAAAATATATAAATATATAAAAATATATCAAGAATCAGTTTTACCATTTCCGATTCAATTATCGGCCGATTAAGCTTCGATCGCGATTGGTCCATGTGTAATCTAATCAGCGCAATAACTGATCAATCAAGTTAATCGAAGATGGTACAACCGATCGCATCACTTTTAAAAATGGAGATTACATATTTTATTTTAGTTTTGGACTATCTCAAGTACAATAAGAATCGGTGAGACAACAATCAATTGTCTCAATCTAAAGAAACATGTGGTATCACAGTAAGAACAAAACTTGATTGCAACGTTTCAGGAATTATCACGTATTTGTCCGTTGAAAAAAAAAAAAAAAAAAACGTAAGAAAGAAAAAATATTACGCAATACAACAGTTACAAGATCTCCGGTATCAGTCGTATATATCTCAACATATTCTTAATAATTAACGACGATGTCTCGCGCAAAGTTTACGCTAGCACCAATACCGAGAACAATATGTAACAGAATTAAATTTGAACAGACAGACACTCATTATACAGTACGCATTCATATCTCGCACATGTACAATGTAGAATTAGAAGAGTTTATATATGTATAACAAATTACACTCAACACAATAACGGTACTACTGAATTTTTCGCATACGACACGCCACACTCGCAACGAACAAAGAAATTGTTCCGTTTTTTATACGAAGGTATTAGATATCGTTTCGCATTGCATAAATGTTTCGATAAAATCGAGATTCACTGATTTAGAAAAAAATATATTTATACAGTCTACATTGTAATTTACACAAGGAATAAGTATGAGCAACATTTTGATATTTTTTTACAGTGTAAGAATATACACATTTAATAACAAACATTACTACTCTAAATATTTTGTATATGAAAAAAGTAAGAAAAACAACTGGTTTATCGTTGATGTAGTTAAAAAAGGCGCGACATTATAGAGGGTAGCGCTCTTATTCCACCGCAAAGAACACAAGAGATATATATATATATATATATATATATATATATATATCTTATGTTCTATGCGATATATATATACAAGATGTCTCAGAATTGGTGTAACATCTCTCGCAAAAAGGTAGAAAGAGTAAAACTGAGTGGATAAGTTCTATACCATTTTGCTAGATTCGCAATAGTTACCGAGATCTTAATTAACAAAGATCAGCGAACAAGCATGCATCGTGCTGTCTTAAGCGCGTAAGACAGCCCGGCGCGATTAGCGCGCTTACGGTATTACCCGTAGCAACATATGGGAGAAGCTAATATAACAGCATATACTATAACATATACATATTAAAATATAATCGTGCGAAGTGCGTTGAGCTGTTCTACGCGCGTAAGACAGCCTGACGCACGCTTATTCGCGCGGAGCTTTGTTAATTAAGATCTCGGTAACTATTGCAAATCTACCAAAATGGTATAGGACTTATCGACTCAGTTTTACTCTTTCTACCTGTCCGCGAGAGATGTTACACCAATTCCGGGACACCCTGTATATATATATAGAATATTTCTTCTCAATTTTATCGCAACGTATCAACACATTGAACATTTTGTTACAAACACTAATTGGCTGGCGATATAACAATATGTAATTTGAGCATGTCTTTGTTGGGTCCTACTAAGAAAGGCGAAATCACGTTTTCCGACACCGAACCCTGTTGCGGATTAAGCTCCTCAAACGGTAACAGATCGTCCATATTCAGCACGCGATCCGTCTTACTGAATATGTGAATAATCTCGATGACCCTTGCGATGTGCTCGACGCCGTCCTGCAATCCGTAGATCAAAACGCCGATCTTTACGCGTACGTTACTGCTCGCCAGTGGATCCTTGCACGTCAACGACAATCTCACCGTGCGTTTAACATGCTCGGGCATCTCCACCGTGCCTTGCCACACGATGAGAAAGAACTTTTTGAACCACACGCCCTTGGGATATAGATCCACCACCCACTCGCACGCCCGGTCGCCCGCGTATTCAGCCAGACTGGAATGACTGGAAAACACGAGTGTCCTCGTGTGATAGGACGGTAGACTGTGAAAATTTTCTATGGTCAGTAGCGAGCTACACGTATCGACGGTGTAGAGTCTCGGCTCAAACAGCAACGCGCCGTCTTCTTCATTCTGGCTCACTTCTCTCACTCTGTCCAGCTGACCGGAGTGGAAGGACATGCCGATCGACATACGCTCGACGAAGAACTCCTTATACTTTTTGGTCAACGGCGAGAGCAACAGATCAGCCAGTTGTCGCGGCGACATCATCGGAAATCGAACAGGTGACATTACCGCGATAACTAGTTGGTGCAGAGTAGCCTCCAATTCTTCCGGCGACAGCTGCGTTTGCAATCGATTCGCTTGATAATCCAGCCACGACTCCAAGGATTTGTAAAGCGTCATCTCGTCCTTGACGACTAAACTGCTTTGGTGCAACAGAGATACCAAAATATCGAAATCGAAGTTGCCAAAGTCCGCTGTTTTGGCCACAAGTTCCAAATTCCACTTGATAAAGTTTTGGCAAGCTTGGCTGATGTCGCGATGACCGCAATTCAACGTGTACTGCAGCCACGATACCAATGTGCCGTGTATGGCAGCTAGCGCGATATGATTTCGCATATAGTCAAGGCACAATAATATCAAATCTTTCACATTATACTTATCAGCTAAAGACAATATCGGTAATACTACACTGTAATTTATTCTTATCTGGCCTGTGTAGAAGTAGCGCAAAAATTCGCTAAATATCGGCGCGCACTGAGGCGTTTCCTGAAGAGTCACTCTGCTTTCCTGCGATTCGCTCCATTGAGGACTCATCAGCATTACCTACAATTTCCACATATATCTCAATCATTTTTCTCTCGCTTCTCATTCGCAACATAAAAATCGTTTTATCGTCGAAAGTATTCACACTCATTACTCAACACTTACTTGGAAAACATCACTAGAAGCACAGAGTATAAGACGATGCGCCGGATATTCCACGCCATCCACAACAAGACATATATCGTTCATAAGACGCTCCGCATAAAGCGTCGCGATCTTTAGCAGAACTGTACGCGAATTGTCCACCTGCGAAACATTTAGAATCATCAAGTAAACTCGACATTTTGCAGCAAAAACATTTAACATATCGCCAATCAGCAAAACGTATACGCTCGACAGATGACAAAGACCAATATACAAGTCGGAAATCTTTCTCCGCGATACTCTCGAGAGACAAATTTACAAAAACAGATTCAGATTTATCTCCGAGTGATCGGCAATATGATAAAATAGTGAGAATTCTGAATATATATACTTCTATAGAATCCGAGCTTTCAGACTGCGCAACAGCGCTACTAACTGTCTCCGGTTTCTTGTTGGAATCCATTCTCGAAGAACCTATCATCCACCTAATAGTGCTCCACAACATCTGCTCATGGTTTCTTAACGTATTTATAATTCAGCCTCAGTTTTATATCGCAAATGACAAAAACTCCACCGTAGAAAACAGTTTCCTTCCACAAAGTTATCCATTGCGTCGAATCGACCCAACAAAGATAATTTCGTAAAGAAAAATCTGAAAAAAAAGTTTTACCTATATACGCACAAATTTATCACAAATCGATCAGTTAAAAAATAAAAATGAATATTACACAAACCGATATCAGTTAAGAAAATAAATCGCATCAAGTGTATCAAATACCGAGATTTCGTCTAACGCGAGTCCAAACAAGACAGCGATCGCAAAGTGCCGTCGAGTTCAATTAAATACGGAAATCAGCAGATTTAACACAGGTACATACAGACACAACGTAATCCACAGAACAAAGTTTCGTTTCAAATAAATGAGGATTGTTCGCACGTATTACCGTTAAACGATTGCAGAATCGCTCTTTCATCAAACTGTGCACTCCGTCTGCACAGCAAGGTATTTTTTATTTTTTTTTTTTAAATTCGAACAACTACAAAAATCATCGACAAGTACCATCAGAACTGTGTTCGAGAACAACACTCGCGCGCACACGAACGTCATTCTATCTTTATCACTCATTAAATACAAAGCATAGATAGAACGACGCTCGCGCGACACGAGTAACGTTCTCGAACGCAACCGCAGACTACACAACGTACTACGCTACGATACTCGAGCAACACGACAATACGAAAGGAACTAGACAGCATTATCTAGGAAATTTATACAACAAGGTGTTCCGATTCACGCATATGCGCGCATTTGTTTATACTATACGTGACGTGTATTATGAATAAAAGCGCGCATATGCGTGAAACAGAACGCAGCCACTAAAGCCTGTTCTACAATACAGTCAGAAACCGTAAGTCGTAAGAAATTGACCAATCACAATCGATTATTCATCTGTAATTAATCTGTAATTGGTTAGGTACTTGATCACTTTCACACGCGCACACACGCGCGATTAAGTGAATTTTTTTCATCCTACACACACTACCAAAAGCATCCCAAAAAAGTCATTTCCAGAAATTTAAATGAGTTAGGCCCTAACATAACATAATCTGTTTAGGTCCTAACCAAGTAGTAGTACCAAACCGATTAGTAGAACTAGTCTAAGTTAGCCAAAATACTTTTTTTTAAATACTGGGCCTACACACACTACCAAAGGCACCCGAAACAGTCATTTTAAAAATTTAAATAAGTTAGGCCCTAACGTAACCTAATCTGGTTAGGCCCTAACCAAATATTAGTACCTAACCAATTAGTAGAGCTAGTCTAAGTTAGCCAAAATATTTTTTTTTTAAATACTGGGCCTACACACAACTACCAAAGGCACCAGAAAAAGTCAGTTCCAAAAATTTAATTAAATTAGGCCCTAACGTAACTTAATCTGGTTAGATCCTAACCAAGTATTAGTACCTAACCGATTAGTAAAGCTAGTCTAAGTTAGCCACAAAATATTTTTTTTTTAAATAGTATGTAAGTATAGTAATACTAATATCTAGGTCAGTATGTTTTCTACAGAAAATAATATTAAAGTAATTTCAGATTCGGATACAGTGGAACACGATGATATTACATCTTTACTTCCGATTCGCGCAAACACAACAAAAAAAAGTTACGTTTCTTATCTTGAAAACTATTACCAATAGAAGATTGAAATTACAGCAGTGTAATCTCTACTTTAACTCAAGTCGACTCCTACACTCATAATTATAACGCCCACTTAAAAATTTTTATTTGTTTTTGGTATTTTAAAATTAAGGGGCTAAGAAAAAGCTTGAGACAAAAGTTGTAGATCTTGACGAGATCTATCAAAGAGGTGCTATGGTCCGAAGCTCTATCTACAATATTGTAGAAGTTATGAAGGTTTTTGTAATTTTTGTAACTTGTTTTTCTTCAAAACGG